TACATTTAAAATATTTGCTCACATTTTCCCTATATTCGTTTTGGGCCCATGATAAAAAAAATACATTTGACAAAAAAAAATGCACTGCTATTTTCCATTAAAATACTCTTCTAGAAAGCTGGCATGTGTATCTTTAGTCTTGACTAGTATTTGATGGCTCTTTCTGGACCTTGCTGAGAAGAATAGAAGTTAAAAGTGGCACAAAATAATTTGTGCATATCTGCACACTGGATATGGGTAATTTTACAAAACTGATTAAACTTTTAGGGTGTTTTTTTAATACATCAGCATAGATTTCATACTATGACTTGATTCCAAGCCAAGACACATTCATTGAGGTTATCCTTCATCTCAGCTTCAATAGATAATCAGTGACTTCATAAACTGGTGGGACACATATTGAAGACATCACGGCTACAAGTGGGCACAGTTTATTCTCTCAACGCACTCGCGCATTGTTTCTGCTCAACAGCAAAAAAGCTTTATTAATTCAAAACATGATCCCTACCCCCTCCCCATTGCACCTTAAAAAAAAAATTGGCTTGGTTTCCCCATCCTGTTTTCAATCAAAGCATTATCTACGCTTGGAGTTTCAAATGTTCCATAAGAAATTAGTTGACAATCATTCCAGTCCCACAGTTCTACCCACCCAAATCCCAAAATTTCTTCCCAAGAACCATATAAATACATGCAAAACATTGTACATAGAGATTAAATAATATCAAAATGCAGTTACAGATCAGGTGCACTTTAAGCTGGACTCTAGAATATGGCAAACACACCAGGGTACATATTGCTTTGAAACCACCATTTTTTTTAATGTCATGCATACCACATAATATTCAGTCTTTTGTTTTTTTTCTCTTTTTATACAAAAATACCAGTGCTTATCATACTAGTTACTGGAAAAAGAAAAAAACCCCATAAATTCTTATCTGCATGCTTCTTTAGAAAAGTTTCTTCTTCAGATAAATATATATACAAATATTAATTTTAACACTGTATATATATTTATTTATGGGCAGAAAAACAAACAAACAAGTAATCTTAGCCATGGGCATGTCAAAGAGTACATGACTTTGTAGTTAAGATTCTTCTTTTTTTGGTTAATAGGATATCGCCATCACAAAGCACAAACAAAGAATGAGGATGGAGGAAACAGTGGGTTAGAACTGCATTGGCTAACATGGAATATTGAAGCTGGTTTAAAAGCATCACACACAAGAGAGAGCTAGTTCAGGCAATACTCTCTACTCATGATACCGTTCTTGCATCAAAGATTTCTTCTGAGAATTCCCTGTCAAGAGGACCAGTGCGAAGAAGTATGATGGCTGATGGCCTCCTGAGCCAATGGGAAGAGCAGAAATTTGGACATGTGAGTTTTCCATGGCATACTTGTATCTCTTCCCCTTTAAAGCTGTGACTGGTATCAGCCCTGCAACAATCGCAACCATTTGCTCTAATCTTGCCTAAAGGCAAAACAGAACAGAGAAATTTGCTGAACTAGGCACTGTGGGGGGATTTTGTGGGAAAGACAGATCCTTTTGCTACAACTTTCCTTGCCATATGGCCTATTGAGTTGGACTCACTTCAAGGGTCCTCAGTTTTGCTTCAGCCCCACCAGAATGGGGGCATGTGAAAGAGGCAAGTGAAGTACATGCAGAAGTTTCAACTACTATATAAATGCCACCCTTAAGCATGGTTGATATACATATATATTTGTCCACACTTGCCCATGGCTAAAGTTACCATTAGATTTGTTTTCCTTCTGGAATTGTCATCTTTCTTTAAAATAATATTTTCTTAAAACTTATTGCACAAAACTTTTGAAAAATTAAGTCAGATCCCTGTGTAAATCAATAAAAAGAACCAATTATGTAATTCTAAACCCTAAAATGGATATTCTCCATTGCACACAGGAAGTGATGTAATGTCTTTGGTACCAATCTGCCAATTTATTTAACAAAAGAATAAATTCCTACTATTAAGTACTCGATGCAAAATTATGTTCAGGGTATTTTTCTTGAAAAACAACAACAACAACACAGCATTTCCAAGCGAACTAACACGCCTCACAGGATATTACCTCATTTCCTGTCTGGCATGGCACAATCTTCAATTATTCTCCCCTCTTTTGCTCATTTTATTGGCAGTAAAGACCTTTTAGTCCTTCAAGGTATGTTTCAGAGAAATTATAATTTATCTGATCCAGCAAGGTTAGATTGTACATAGAAGCAGGCTTCCATGTGTGTATCACCTTGCTTGGGTGCAATCCAAATCTACACAAAGGATGCTATGTGGAGTAAAAAAAAAAGTCTATTTCCCATACCTGGGCTGACTGTGTGCTGATCCCTGCTGGATTGGGTCTACATGCCTTTCCCCTGACAGATGGCTGGCATAGTCAACTTAGAACAGCACCGTCAATCTGTTTGTGAAAGTGAGGGGACTGCATCAATGTCCCCCTTTCCCCTCTCCTCCCCAAGCAAGTGACGGGTACAGTGAAACCCAAACATGCCAGCCATTTGATTGGTAAGTGTGCACGTACATGCATCAGTGGATTGGAGGCTGTGTCTCATCTAAAGCATTGCATCACCCCCAAATATTGTATAGTTCCGTAATAACTTAAGCCAGTTGACCGCTGCCAGTTTATCATAGAAACTAAAGTAGAAAAAATTTCATTAAAATGTATGCACAATAAACACTTATATTTTAAGCAACCAGCCATATCAACATAATTTATATAAAAACATTTCTGTATAACACAACTGACTTTAGTACAAAGATGGCTGTTCAGAGAAAGGAAGCTAACTGGAGTCTGACCAATCACTAAGTTTCAACTGCCAGCCATGTGACCACATTCCACTGCAGTTACATAACTCACAGTTTTGTTTCCTTTAAACAAAATACATATGGCTGACTTAAAAATATCTGTTTCTGATCTAAAGAAAACTATATATTTTTTGCATATTTATATAATTATTTTCCCTCTCCTGCCCCTCCCTTAACTGAGGAAGCTAGACACAAGAAAGAAAAATAGATGAACTGAAACATAGGCCAGACCCCTCAATGCAACCTGTCAATTACAGATTTTCTGGGAGTGACTTTGTAAGTGCCACAGTGTTTTTTTTCTTCCAAAACATGTTTGAGGTAATAAAAATATCAAACAAATTAAAAAAATCAGTGCCCCCCTCCCCAAAATATTTCATAAATATTTATGCAAGCGCCTAACACCACCATTTTTTGCAAGTCTTTAAAATAGAAAAATGACCTTTGAAGCAATGTAACCTTGAGAACAGAACTAAATAAGAGGTTTTTAAAAATTCAATAGATCTCATAGCCAAAGATGGCAGTTTCTCTCCCCCCCCCATTCCTCCCAATGTGTACAGTTCAGATGAAAGGAATTAAGTGGGTATATCTGGAAGGAAAATAAGTGGATGAGGGATAGCATGGTGACTTATTCTCAGTTAAGATGGTCAATGATGGGTACTTTCCCCCTGGATATTGGCAGTTGATTGAGCCTGGCATTCAAGTCCTCTTTACATCAGATAAGGAATTGTCATCGGTCTACCTTGAACTTGTGATGAAATTCAGTGGCCAATCCATAAGGTGAAGGGGGTTGAGTTTAAAGAAAACCCAAATACTCAATTAAGTTTCATTTTTGCTTAAGGAACACTTATCTCTTGGCAAAGTACCGGGCTTCCGTGTGGCAGGCGGTGCTTTGGGCAGTGCTTAGACAAGGCACAGGAGTTTCTGCTGTGCGTTCTTCAAAAGAAAAAAGGAAGCAATAGCCACCACAAGGGAGAGCTGCATACATTTCAATATTGGGAAGGCAACCAGGCAGTGAAACCTTCAATACAGCTAATAACAACTAGGTTCTCTCTTTGCTTCCAGGTAGTACTTTCCAACATTTTGAGAGATGGGTTACAAGGGTTTTGTTGAAACACCTGTCCACCGAGTCAATTTAAGAACCACTATAGTTCTGGCAAGAGAACTGTGGATGCCCATCCTTCTCATCTAATCTTTTCTTTGGGTAGATATGCCATGCTAGCAGGAGATTCCCCACAGGGCTGCAGCTGCAAGCCTGGAACATTGTTCTGTCTTGGTCTGCCAACATCTTAATTCTAGGAAACACATACTAAGATGAAGGAGACACTCCCTTTCCACCAGCATTCAGCACTAGAGCCAGTTTCACCTTCTCTGACATTCTTCCAGATAGCTAGAGGCAACCATGTTGGGAAGTGATGGTGGCCATTTTTGGTACAATGAGAAGTGAAGACACTTCTAATGAGAAACACAAAAAGCCATATTGTTGAGCCTTGTCTCTAGGAAGGTGCTGTGTGCCATAACAGATAATGTGTTCCAGCTATATAGAGCCTCATTTGCATTTCCCCCCTGAAAAAGCCTTTCACACAAGTGTGAAACGTTGTATTTTCACTCCTTTGTGCAATAGATACTACAGGGATTGATAGTTTATGATTACAGTGGACCGGCTGTAAGAGTTCGCATCTCTTTGAAGAGGTAACCTTAGAATATGCCTTCCCTATAACAACCTGTCACAAAACTTAGACAAAGACCATAGTTTACATTTATGCCACATTCTTTGGGATCATCGTTTACCAGTTGTGAACTTGGGATAGTGACTTTATAGGGCCTAAACGTTATTCACCGGATAGACAAAACTGCAAAAATCAAACAAAGCATACTGCCCTTATGCACACAGATCCACTAATATAGAATCCTAAGTAATTTGTTCCTAACTCATACACAGCACCTATCAGGTCATGCATCACCTAATTTCAGTCTCAGAGAATTCAGTGATGTCACACCTCCTTGTTGCTTTCGCCTTGTTTGCAACTACATCACTTAAAACCCATTTTCAGACTTTTTAGTCACCCTTATCTCCTGTTTGGTTGATATTACCATGGAAACAGAGAGAGTAAGAAATATATACACAAACAGAAAAATTATAGGAGTCATGTAACATCCCGCCCGCCCACCCTTCCCCCACCCAATGGAAGACAGGGTTACTTTTCATATTCAATAACTGATTTAGATCCCACTTTCCTCTATAAAGGAATTACATTGCCTTGGCATTCTCCCAACTGCTTCTCAAGAATATGTGAAGTCATTTATGATTCAGATTCTGCAAGTAAAAAAGAAGCTATTGGCACAATTGCATCTTCAGATGCTGGGTGCATAGCTCCTTCAGGCAATCTGAATCTTGTTTCTTTTAAGCATGAAACCTGAAAGGCAGAAAACTACTACTACAGACATGTGGTTACTCAACTCAAGGAGAAAATTTATTAACTTGGCCATTTCTCACTTGAGAGAGGCACCTTTGCCCAAAGCACTGTTAATCAGTAAACCTCTAAACATGGGGTTCTGTGGTTCCTACAGCTAAATCATCATTTAGGGGGAAAGGGGCAGGGAAATATAGACATATATGTATGATCCCCTAGAAAGGAAGTGGCCTCAGTGTGTGGTTGATTGCAGGTGCCTATGTTGCATGGGGGGGGGAAAGCAGGCGGAGGATCATAGTTCAGAGGTCAAACCGATGTTTCCAAGCTGTGTAAAGGGCTTTCTGGATCTGGAATGGTGTCCTCAGCTATATCGCCGTCCACTGCATTGTTATTTTTGTTGAGGGGTGAGGACTCGCCTGGGCTCTCCCCATTTTGCTTTTTGGGTTCTTCAGCTTCCAGGTCTTCTTCGGCGCCATCGAGGAATGGGGTCCGAGGCTCGTCTTCCTCCAGGATGAACTCTGGGTGAGTCATGAAGTTATGAATGGAGCTTCTGGATTCGGGTTTCTCAAGGCCTTCATACAAGGAGCTACGGAACGCATTCACCACTTTGATCTGTACCAAAGAGGGATGGGGAAAAAACAAGCAAACACAAAAGTGAGTGGTAGCCACAGGAGCCCTCGAGGATTTCAGGGGAAAGAAGAATGCAACAAGCATAACAACAACAACAGCAGCAGTAGTCACAACAATAGTAGTTTTGAACAAAAACTTAATAAATATGAAAGAGGACCTATGGAGAACCAGAACAGCCAAGATGGGTCAAAGGTCAGGCACTACACGCGTGATGGGGCTACCAACTATGAGGTGGCTTCAGAAGCTGCAAGAAAAAGCATGTAACATTTTAAGACAATAGCTTTGAAATGCATGGACATTCAAAGCACAACAGTTCTCAAATGCGTGTCTGTGTGTTCAACAAAAATACCCAAATGAAACAGTTCAAGGTGGCAAGTTAGACATAAACACAAAGTGTGATTTGCTTCAAGGCAAAATTAGGGTGGGAAGCAATGGTGGCAGTTTTTAATTTTCAAACCTACAAAGATTAATTTAACGAATGTGTCACAAAGACAAAAAGGCTGAGACTGCATACTGCAGCAAGTCCAAGCAGATGCCAATACCGATGAACGTACCAGTGAGCATGCAAGAGTAAAAGTCAGTAAATTGGAATGCATATTTAGGAGCTCCAGAGCCGCTTCAGAGTTACCATGCCAGGAACATGGTCAGCATTTCCCAAGAGCAGTTGCTAACTTCAGAGCTTGTTCTATAGCTATGTCAGGAACTCACAGCTGCTCTGGGCAGGAGCTCTTAGCCTGTGATAATAAGGACCAATACCTTAGGCACAGGTATTGTATTAGCAGTTATGAGTACAATTTTGCAGACTAGTCTCTCTTCTTTACTGGTGCAACAAAATCACTATCAACACTAGAAAAAAAGACCTAGATTTTCAAAGAAGCCTAAGAAACTAGGTCTCTGAGCTCTTAGGCAGTTAAATTGCAGCTTTAAACAAATTTGGCAGGAAAATATCAAAGCATAGTCTCCTCTGGATGTTTTGAAAATCCTAGGCTCAAATAATAAAATTCACAGTTTGCTCGGTCACATGGATAAAGTGCAAGGAATGTTTCAAGAACATAAAAGCATTGCGGACATTGCTGCTGAGGCATCTTCTCATTATAGGATGCAGCGTATTTCTGCAAAGGTCATGCTTCCCCAGACAAACCAACACAAAAATGTGAAGAACACAGCTTGCTGTATACCAGCCTAATCATATGTGCATTGGCTATATCAGCTTTCCATGGAGACTTGTATGCACTGCACAATCCACAGAAGCTCATTCCAAAAACAAAACAACATATCATGATACAATAAATATTTTATACAGAACTGGCACAAAATTGGAACTTTAAAAAAAAATTACTGAATGTGAGGTCCATAGTTTTTCAGTTGTATATTTACAAACACACAAATCCTATTTCCCCTTTTTGTACCCAGTTGCTCATATCTAGTACAGTAGAAGTAACATCTCTATAATCAGAAAGAAAAGAAGCTTGCAGAACATGTTCAAATTTTTGTGGTTAATACGTATTCCTTTTAAAATCTACAGACCTCAAAATAGTATTGGCAGTGCCCATCCTTCACTACAGGGCAGCAAAATAACTTGCACTAAGGGCACAGCCGCATGTTACCAGCCTTTTGCACCCAAACACTGGTTTCCACTTCTCCGTCTAATGGCACTGGGAAGGGAAAGCGTCCAGCTGAAAAGTATGGGTAGGAAGACACTGATTAACCACCCACCCAGCTTTCCCCTTCAGTTCTTCCTTCCAGCCAGGGATCCAGGACCATGTTTTGTAGGCTGCAAAGAAAGTAGCTAAGCTGGGGAGGGGGACTGTTGGAGGAAAGCACACAGGGGGAAGGATACCCCCCTCCTGCCCACTGCTTTTTTGCTGCAAATGCTCCCTTATGCCACTCTGTAGAAGAGAACAGGAAATCAGGGTTTCCATAACCAAACTAGCCAGCTATAAAGGATAATTCTGATAAAAGCTACATAAAATGTCTGTGAATTGAACCCACACATTTCCAAGTTCAAAGTTTTGTTGACACCTTTTGTAATGAGACATTTGAGTATAACAGTCACAAACTAAGAGCTAAAGTACATGATGCATTTTTTAGTAAGTTGGGCTCAGGAAATATAGTTTTAAAAGTCTATGGGGACCCAATTCAGCTCAGAACCACAGCATGGGAGATAGATGGACTCCTCCCCCCACCCTTTTCCTGAGCTGAAACAGCTTAGGACAGTGGTGGGGAACCTATGGCACGGGTGCCAGAGGTGGCACTCAGATCCCTCTCTGTGGGCACACATGCCATCGCCCCAGCCAGGCCCAGACCATCATTAAAGTGTCAAATTCTCTGCTAAATAATTTTAAGTAAGTGAAAGCATTTGGGATTGCTTTCCTTACTTTGTTTGGATCATCTTAAGTTAATGTATGAGTTGTTTTTTCTAAAGTAAAACCTCAGTATTCAGGTTAAATTGCTGTGTTGGCACTTTGCGATAAATAAGTGGGTTTTGGGTCGCAGTTTGGGTACTCGGCCTCTAAAAGGTTCGCCATCACTGGCTTAGGAGGAGTGACTGCAGTGGTGAGTGGCTGCAGGGAAAGCTAGTCCTTGGACCCCACTTGTTAAAAAACACATTGTGTAGTTTGGCCTTGTGGCTAATGGACTGAAATTACTCCTTGCAAACTCAATGTTATTTGGGTTTTACTGCATTCCGAGGTGTGCTGGGGAAGTTCCTATTATATTTACTTCTGGTAAAGGAATGTTGGATTTCAGATGCTCAGGCCTGCCTCAAACTTTAGAAATATCTGCAGCTTTAGAAATATCTGCAATTTCAGTTACTTTATAACAAACGTCACACTATTACCTACATTTATTATCCACTGTGCAAAATCGTCATATAAATTCTACAGGATATAAAGGGTCACCAAGGTGGTGTGTTATTGGGATAAACTGTCCATCAGCTACTGTTTGCTAGATCATGGCCTTTTAATAAATTCTGATTGCTACTTTGAGTTCAACAGCCAGATTATTGGTTTTGAGAACAAAAGAAATGGCTTGCTGAATCAGACTTCGCATTCAGCTCAGCTTCCAATGTGGCTAACTAGATGCTCCTGGGGAAACTCATGAATGGCCATTTCCTATTGTCTGTCCTCAGGATCCAGAAATCAGAGGTATACTGCCTCTAAACAAAGGGGCTAATTTCAGCTAATCTGCCTAATACCTATTGACAGAACCAGGGGTCATTCCCTGCAGGAGTGCACAGGAGCAGAGCTCCGGCAGTAAAGAGCTCAGGGGGCGGGCACATGCAACAAACCCCACCCCCTGCTCCCAGCAGCCCTCAGTCAGAGCATGAAGCCGCCAGGTAAGTTGCAGCGCTTCCCCCGGCCCCCGGGTCCAAAACAGTCCAGTAGTACCTTTAAGACCAAGTTTTATTCAGGTACAAGCTCTCTCCCTACTCTGCGAAAACAGATCCGCACGCCCCCCCCCCCAGTAGCTAGCAATCCAAAACAGTCCAGTGGAGCCTGAGCGGTGGGTGTTACCTTCTGACACACTTCTGGTGATGTCAGGGTATGTGGCATATGCAAATAAGTTATGCTAATGAGCTCCTGCAGCTATTTTTCTACGAAATGACCCCTGGACAGAACTGTCCTTCTTGAAGTTAATGGTTCTTGAAGTCTTGTTATACTGGCAGGTAATTATACTTGGTGTGATTCACTGGATGGCACCATTAGATTAGCTTATTGTAAGGCCAAAAAGCTAAAACAGAAGCAGCTTTGAAACTCAAAACCCAACTCACTGCCAAAACTGCTACCATGCAAGAAATCTTTGGTTTCAGAATGCTGTATACACAGAGATATAAAGTTACAAAGCATTATCTTAAAGCTGTATAGAATGATAACTCTGCCCACAAAATCATTTTGTCAATGTTAGCATGGTATGCAATCCCGAGAGGTAGGGCAGGGCACAACACCCCTGGAGACACCAGTATGGTCAGTGTTTGGAAAAGAATTTCACCTTGTAGAAGAGTCTTAATCAGACAGTGAACTCTGACATGTGGTGCCAGAAGATCCACAGATATAGAGAGTGGCTGAACATATACCTAATTCTACAATTCTGGCATGGAGTATGTCAGTAGCATCTTAATTATAGAACCACTCAACAGCTGAAAAGATGGGCAACTCTGAGGAGCTAGAACCAAAAATATCTCTGAACATCATGAACGGTTCTAGCAAAAGCAGCAAAGGAGTCCTGGAACATGACTGCCTGATACAAAGTAAGGAAGAAGGCGCTCAAGCCAAACACTTGATGCTTACAGAGGTAGCACAAAACCAATAAAAAAGGAGCCTTTAAGAGCTGAGAAAACAATGATGGAGAACTGCACTGGAAGCTCTAGGTTCTGAGTCACCCAGAACGAGGACGTTAGTAATGTTCATTTCTGCAGCTCCTGTTCTTTTCTATGGAAAAACACATCCTGAGGGTACGCTAGTATTTTTTTTAATTTAAAAAAGTTGAGCTTTGTGACTTTCTCAACAATCCCTTTTTTTCCAGGTTCTGCTTCCTTTAGACATTCAGTATTTTAAAAAGCCATAAAGTTAATATGATCCAACATTAGAGGTATTTAAAACTGAAACTCTGGATCCACACTCATTTTCTCTGGGAACTGTAAATAGAATCAATTCTTGCAGCATGTTTTGTAGCCACAGACTGCAGTGTGTTTGGATTCTACCTGCTTGAGTGGTTCTGCTATAGTGTAATGAGGCAAAACTGCTTACACGCCTTGATAGAGTGTACAGCATTTCAAACTGTTGCAAGGAATCCTGGAGTTCTTCAAAGCATATTCAGTGTTCTACAATAAACAATTTGCCAACCACCACTAAAATTCCATTGCAGTGTGCAACCATGGGAGAGAGCTGGATGTGCTGTGGGGCCTATTCCCAGTTCAGTGCAGGGAGCCAGTTTGGATAGGGGTTTGGACTTAGACTAGGGAGACTGAGGTTCAGATCTCCACTCAGCCATCAAGCTTACTGGGGGGCCTGAATGGGCAGAGGGCATAGGTGCTCCAGGCCCTGCACTTGGGAGACAACCACCATACTGCCCCCATCATCCCTCACCATCAGTTCCTGTGTAGTGGCAGTGGCCAGCAATCAGCTGTTAAGGGGGTTGGGGCTCTCCCCAATCACCCTACAGCTGATGGCCAGCTACCTGCTTATAGGATATCAGATAGTACATCTATCAGACAGTACATCTATAACAAAGGTTTGCATGGTACAGGTGACACATAAAGCAGAAACCCTAAAAAGAAGGCTTACACACTTCTCACCCTTTCAAAACATCATCAGGGGATACTAAGTGTGCAATCCAGGCCAAAGGATTCTGTTCCACAGGCATTTACTCTGGTGAAAAAAACGTGTTTCTCCTCTTCCTTTCAGCACAAGAGGACACTCATTGGTTTGGATTCTAACTAGTATTTCTGCTCATGCAGTGCAATATTCTGCTTCCCCCTTCCTATAGCAGCTCAAAATGTTGCATTTCATGCCCCTGCGGGAGAAGGAGACAGGAAAACCATGGTCCTCGCACCAGTGGAAATGTTTCATGGGATCCAATCCACAAGTTTATTACTTTGTACCTCTATGTCATAGCTCATTTAAACTCTTACCTCCTTTCCCAGAAGGATTCCTTTCTAAGGTGTACAATTAGCAAGTCAAGTGGCTGTACACACCGTTTGTATCATGGTACTTCCCCCAATTTATTCATGAGGTCTTCCTTTTCTTATCAGTCAGCCCTTATGAACACAGCACATGGGACCGGTGAAATTTTAACACTGTAGAACTTTCCACCAGGTATTGAGAGAGAAAGGGGGGGGGGCAGAAAGGTAGCTTTACAGAATAGAAAAAATGAAGTAGAGAACTGCATAGGCAAGGCCAAAAAGACACAGCATAATTTTTGATGCTGTTATTGTGTGATGGGAAATCATCCTACTCACTCAAATAATATGTTCCCTTTTTTCCTACCTTGTCCACCAATGACATGAAAATTAATAAATCACGAAAGTGTGGCATTCTTGGCCGAGTATGATGCATAAAACCTGAACATATTTCTTTCGATAAGGCGTTATACTGACACTTGACAGCTGCACTCCTTCACAAATTCTGGGAATATGCATAAAAAATAAATAAAGTGACAGTATAGTCTAAGTACTAAATGCATGTAAGTTGTGCTCGAAACGGGGCCACAAAGAAGGGAGATTAAAGTAAGTAGCAGCCAATAGTAAACATATGTTGGACAGTGTTTCTTAACTTGTCCGAGAAAACAACAGTAATCAGGGTCTTAAATGTATGACTCTAGATGTGAAGAATTAATTTCATTTTCTGTAGAAGAAGCCTCTATTATTTTTATAGCATGGCAAAATACATAATTGATTACCACATCCTTGTAGATTGAAGTGGCAATACCAAATAAAAAGAAAAATATTTGTAAAAAAATTGTTCAGCATGTTATTCTTCAGACTTCCTTTTCACCTGCCACTTTTCCTGTACAGAATAATAAATTATCTCTAGATGTGACTGTAATCCTAAAGCCTGCATATCTATAGATCAGATTGCTAGTCAGCGAAACTACCCAATTTTGTGCAAACAGGCAAGGCCCATTTCTCAGCAGAAGCAGACTGCAGTGCTCAGGAGTCACTGTATTCCCAGGTTCAAGGAAGCACTTAAATCTGGCCTAGGAACCTAATTCCCACAAAGGACCTGACATTACTGATTGGGACAATGTTTTGCAAACCAGTATTCTGACTTTAAAAACTGCACATTTTTATGGGAAGTGTTCAGTGGCACAGCATAGGATTTCCATGCAGCAGTTCAAAGTCAAGCCACTGACATCTCCTGTTACAGGCTCTCAGGTAGCAGGTGTGGGAAATGACTTCCCTCTGCTTGAGACAAATGGCTACTATGCCACTAACTGGGTCATCATTCCTTTGCTCTGGTGATGAATTTTTTCTTAATAAACAAGAGCCTTAGGAATATTTCTGTACTGCAGTTTTGCACATTCTTTATGTGGAAAATAAGCTCCTTAAGGATGGCTTTCTTCCTGTTACAAACTGAGTTCCAGCATCTTATACCAATATACAAACAACTGCTATGGGATATAACCCATTGGTGCACCACATGCTTGGCAAGCGGAAGGTGACTAGGGTCAAACCCCCCCCCCCATCACCTTCAATTAAAGGATCTCAGGACATAGCTATTAGAAAAGACCCTTCTCTGAGAATGTGGAGAACCACTTACACTCAGAATAGACAATACTGAGATCAATAGCCTGATACAGTATAAGGCAGCTTCATGTATTCACATATGTCCAACATATATGAATGTATATGTTTCACACTATAGCCTTTGACACAAACTGCTGGTCTGAGCCAAAAGAGATCCCCTCCCCCCAAAATTAAATTTGATCATGAGAGCTTTTTTCAGATAATGAGTATCCATAATATGCTTAATCTGCAATGCTGAGATATTACATTTGCACAAGAAGTTTATTAGGATCGATGGAAGGAGAAGCAAGCCGTAATTCTAAGAATCACTCAAGGACTGCTCAACACAAGACAAACAAGTGTTCAGAAAATGTTACTCTGTTGGCCTGATCCTATGCATGTTTACTCAAAAAACAAAATTTATTAGTTTCAATGGCGTTTACTGCATAGGACCAGTCTCTGGCTTGCAAATATCCTTCAAGGAGAAAAATTGCCTCCCAGATAACATAAAAATTGTTTTACGGAAGTTAAGTGCTTCATGTAGAAAACCTGCACTTTTAATTAAGACATTTCCCCCACTCTCATATTTATCAGTGGCCATCATACCTTCCCTTTTCTCTTTAATAAAAGCATCAAACATTTTGTGCCCCTGTGGGAATATGGGAATGATAATTCAGTCCTGCGAGGAGGAGAAAGATAAAAATTGCAATAGAGGAGAAGAAGAAACAGAAAAAGAACCAGAAGGAATTTTGAAACAAAGTTAAAAATGCAAAAGCTTTTTAAAAAAGTTGTATGTACACTCAGATTGCTTTCCCCCCCGTACTTCCTCCAAATTCTCAAGACAAGAAACCATAAGTCAAGTTATGGTTAAAAGAAAAGGGAAAGAGAACAGGTTTGGTTAGGTCTGTGCGAGTGCCTTTTGGTGGTTATTAGGAAGTCATGCATTGAATAGACTATCACTCACTGCCCGCAGGAGGAGATGCAGCAGCAGCAGCAGCAGCAGAAGTGGTGGGAGTGGAATTGACGGAGGAAAGAGCTACATGGGTTGGGCTAGAAACATTTTTTACATCGTGGTGTTGGCTCACGATGGAAGGCTGTCTCCTGAGGGCTCCCTGTAAAGAGGAGGCGCCGGTCTGGAATGTGTAAACTACGTCCATCTGCAAAGAATCAGAGAGTGAGATAGCTTTGTCCCACAGTCAAAAGAGGAAAAGGAACTGGGAGAGAGGAATGGGGAGGCTGGGGCAGACAAAGGATACAGATACAAACAATAAGGGACAAAGTAGGAGGGGAAAGAGGAAAACCCCTGTACATTCCCATAAACAAGTTCAGCTGTTAATCCACAGGTAGTGGTGCTGGGCACTGAGTTTCCAAGCCTTTTATCTTCTTGTCCCCAATTATTCTTGTGTTTGCAGTAAGTGCTTGTTTACTGCACAGCATATATAAAAATGCGTAAAGAAACCCTCATGGCCTGCTACTTTGAGTGAAACAGACAAACTTTGCTTGGATCTGCACTCATCCCTTTTAGAACAGACACAGTAACTTCCCAACAGAATTGAATTCAGCAGCAACACATTCTCCCCTTTTCCAGTAGTAGCAGCTATGCAAAATGTCTATTGGCTGGCTCTTGGAGTAATTCCCTATTTTTCCATAGAAACATCTCAAGTTTTATTTACAAACACAATAACTTGAATGGTTCTTTTTAAACTGGCACCAAATAAATGTTTAAATGCAGAAACAGGTCAGGTGTCTTTTGAAAAAAAATGTTTTAAAGTGCAGTCCTAAGTGTTCCCTCTAAGCTGAGTTGGTGTGAGCTAGCTCACAATTTTTTAGTCTCTGGCTCACACTTTTTTGTCTTAGCTCAGGAAGCATGGCTCCAGGGCAAACTGATTTATGCAGCAGCCAAATCGCCTGCCCACAACTATAATGCCAGTAGCTCACAAAGAAGAGTTTTTGCTCACAAGACTCCATGGCTTAGAGGGAGCATCCTAAGCAGAGTTACATCCTTCTAAACCCACTGATTTCAGTTGATTTAGAAGAGCCCAATTTCAGCTGATATGGAAGAACCCCAATGCTTACTCATACCAGGTGTGTAAGGTACATCCATTTGCACCCTTAATTGCAAAACAGGATCAGGATGGGGGCAATGTACATTAGCACAGTGGTAGGCAGGAAGGGAGGTATTTAACTCCCCCCCACACACACACTACTTTTCCATCACAAGTTCAGCAAGGTCATTTCTTCTCTTGCTGGATTCCAGGTGTGTATGTGTGGGGGCAACCACATTCCTGGAATGTGGGGGGGGGACCTTAACAGGTAAAAGCACCCCCTCCTCTGCCATTTGCTATTGCAAATCACCCCCTCCTAATGCTGTTCTGAAGTGAAGCAGCAGACCACTGGGGTTTCATCAATATTCGTGCATTGCCAGCGTGTTCAAACCCTACAATCAGAAACGTGTGGGGTGAGATAGAGAATGAGAGGTGGCAATCCCGTGGAAAAGCACTCCGTAAGCTCAGTGGATGAGAAGGTGTGCCCGTAAGCAACAGAGATGCCACAAAAGTACAGTCTAGAAACTTCAGTGGGATAACTAGTGTGTTTCCAGTTGCTTGGCTCCAAGGGATACCAAAGGGCATAGCCACACAATCTAACAGAGGTTGCCATGGGCTGAGCTTCTTGCCAAGGACTGGGCCTGAAATCACATGGGGTCCATTTGTTTGGCCAAGAGGAGACAAACAAGTCACAAAACAACCAAGCTGAAGCTAATGGCAGCTGCAGTTTGTCAATTCATCTCAAAGCAGATAGGGCACAGAGGCATGCAGAGATATCACAATAGCAGAGAGTTTTCTTCACTGTCTCTGGAAGGCATGGGAAAAACTGCTGGATTTGGTACAAGCTTCCTGCTTCTCTGGCAAGACATTTGGTATCAGCTGCAAAGGGCCCTTGCTAAGAAGGAAAGGGCTGTAGTTTTCATTTCCCAATACAAATTGTGTCTGTAGTTAATCATGCAAGCAATACCAAAGAGTCCCCCACTGTTTTCCCTGAAGGGACACATATACAGGGCACTTCTCTGAGCAATCTGCAATTCCAGGAGCTTTTACTTCCAAAATCAAGGCTAAATTGCTTGGATTTACATCACACACACACAAGACAGACTGAAGCCTTCTCACATTTGCATAGTGTTTGCTGTAGCAGACAGCACTGTTCATTCAGTGAACATGCAAAGCTCTGCAAGTGAAATAGGTCTTTCACAAACTCGGTATGATGACTTCGTTCGTCTTATTAGCTCAATAGGGGCTTCTCAGGGAAATTTTACACCACCATATCATGTCTAGTTGTACCTACCACCTTTTGCCATACAGAGAGGAGCACACTTAACAATGAATGGCTCTCCCTCTGAAGATTTTCATATAAGGTCAGCTTAAGGAACCACATATAGCCAATGACTTCAGATCCTCAGAGTCTCTTCTTGTACCTCAGAACCCATAACCTACCTCAGTGATACATCCAGACAGAAAGAGACATGCAACGGCAATCTTGCCAGGCTGATGCACATCAGCACCAGGGTTCAACAAGGCTCCCAATGTGACAACCATACCCTGCTTCACACTGCATGCCATGTGCAGCCTCCATCAGATTCATAGTCCTTAGTTTGTATTCTTGGTACATGACTCTGTGCATGGAGCAGAAGATTTCAACATCTGTAGTACAAGTAACCACCCTTAAAGTGGCAGAGATTACAGTTCCATATCTAAAACACACTCATGTCCAGGTTCCATGCAGGCATTCTTCTGAGACCATTTCCCCTCATTTAGGGCCTTGTGTCCTGTCATGGAGGCAAGCATCTGGACCACAATAAGAATAAATTTCTATGATTTTATCTTATACAAGTAAAAGGCAAGGAGAGTCATGACTTAAGCACTAACATAAGGCTTCCATCCCATAGAGATCCAGTTTGGTGTAGTGGTTAAGTGCATGGACTCTAATCTGGGAGAAGCGGGTTTGATTCCCCACTCCTCCACTTGCACCTGGCTGGATGACCTTGGGCAAGCCGTAGTTCTGATAAGAGCTGTTCTTGAAAAAAAGAGCAGTTTCTGTCAAGAGCTCTCTCAGCCCCACCTACCTCACAGGTGTCTGTTGTGGGGAGGAGAAGGGAAAGGAGTTTGTAAGCCACTCTGAGACACCTTTGGGTAGTGAAGGGCGGGGTATAAATCCAATCTCTTCCTCTTCTTCTTCTTTTCTATCCTCAGCCTGCCGCATATTCTCTGATTCTTTGGGACTACCTCCCCATCCACCTCTTTCCTAGTGGCTGAGATATACTACACACTGGTTTTACACCATGTAGTCAAGTGTGTCTAGTTATGGCAGGTACAAATAAAAGAAGGCTCAAGTTAGTATCTCCTCATCTAGAATCAGGCAGCATGGGAAAGAAGGGTAATAAAATTACAGAGTGGCTAAGCAGCATTCTATGTTCTTGGATAGCATTTTATAACCCGAGGTGCTATGGATTTTGCAGCAAACCCATTTGGCAGTCAAACCTATCCTTTTGATGCTTACAATCAGACCATGAACTGAAAAAGTATACATTCAGCTTACACTGAGCAACTCAGCTGTCAACAAGGTTGCTGCTGCCTGTTAGTTAGAAAACTGACTCATAGCTGATTGGGGAATCAGCTGTGGGCTGGGTTCTGATTTCCCAGAACTTCCTTGAATCCTAGCCATGCTGTGCTGGGACACAGAAATGCTTTGGAGGGAATCAGGATCTGACTCTCTGCCAATGAGGCATCAGCTGGAAATGGGCATCCGATTACTTCCCCAGAAACTAGCTACACAGTGAAGACAGAGACCATAAGCAATAAGGTATCGATCTTCTCATTGTAACAGGGAGATGAGAAAAAATCATTTTTCTCTTTTCTTCTTTAGCCCAAGCAATCTGTTCCTTTCGTATGCAGCCAACAATCTGTTTCCTCCTCCTCTCCCCCGCCTGCCAAACTGAGAACTTGAGCTGCAGAGAACAAGGATTGATCTCCCCCTTTTTTCTACCGCTCAAGCTGACAGCTTGGAGTGAGCAAAAGAGAAAGGAAGTCAGCTGGGTTTCTGATTCCTCACCTCATCTGCTGTATCCTAGTAAGTCTGTGAAACAGAAAAGTTTCCAGGATGGGAGATCAGAAGAACCTGACTCTCAGCTGATCCCCACGATCAGCTGGCAGTTGACTCTGGATTTTCTCCTCCTAAAAAAACTTTACTGGTACAGAGCGAGAATTTCCCAGTAGGAGATAAAAAAGCCAACTCCCAGCTGATCCTTTATCCATCAGCTGGGAGTTGGCTTCTGATGAGTGCAAACAACCTGTTCCTGTGAACAGATGTGAACAGGTTGCAAACAGCCCACTGATCAATCACCTCTCTAATCACCACTGGCAAAGGGGAGCGGGACTGGCAGGTGGTCCAGCATCCCCATTTATAACAATGGTATAATCAAGCATCAGCATCTCCTGTGTGCTGGGAAGGTGAGCTTCACACCACTGGGCTGATACTTTTCTCTCTCCTTGGGATCACTTTCAGTCTGGAATTATAGAATGACTCTTAAACTTGATGGGACATGTCGTCAGACTGTTAAATTTTAAAACTGAAAGACACTTAATTTTTTTTTAAAATGTGTTCTTAGAGTTTCTTTAAAGGTTTCATCCCAAAAAGCCAGGAAATAATAACTGCCACATAACAACCAGATGCCACCAGGAAAGTCACAGTAATGAAATCTCATCACTGACCTTAGACTGCTGATAACAATAAGAAAAGCAAAAGTAAGCTAGGACTGGTGATTTCTGAGTGTGTGGAGTTATTACACCAGGACCTTGAGAGAAGAAGTCACTCTGAGCTGCCTGAAAATCTTGCTAAGACAAAATCTGAAGCAGAAGTAATTTCACTTTCAGTATCCTTTGTGAGAAGCTGAGCTTCAGGACTCCGAGAGATCCTCAAGCACTGACATTGCTATGGCTCACATCCCATGGAACAAGATGCACTGAGTCCTGAAGATAGGATGGCACAAAAAGGGAAGAATGAGCCCTCAAGCTTACTTACAGTCCACCTGGAAGACCGGGGCAGGAATCCAAGAAAGGTGGAGGATATGTGTCATTCGTGGACTGGTGCTAAGTAACAGCCTGTCTTATGTAATGAAGTTGCTATGTTGCTCAGAGGGCCTTAGATTATCAATGAAAACCAGCTGCCAGACAGGAATCTGGGTATTCTGGTAGGAGTCAGGACTTGTACAAACAGTTGCATGCTTGTGTCAGTTGAACAGCTGTTGTTCCAGACTTTATGGAACAAAACGTTATGCACCTTGATAAAGCTGTATGATATCGTGGTATAGTGGGCAGAGTGTTGGAGTATGACCTGGGAGATCTATGCCTAAGTCCCTGCTCTGCTATGGAGGCTTGCTGAGTGACCAGTCATACTCTGTCAGCTTAACCTGCTTCACAGGTTGTGAGGATAACATGGAGGAGAGGAGAATGATGCACGCCACTCTGGGTTCTCACTGGGGAGGAAGGTGGGGTACAAATGAAGTATGTAAATAAATAAACTTTTCATTCTCCAGAATAAGGCCCTCTGAATACACTGACTCTATGTATTTGTATAATCTGATGTTTCTATCTGTGCACTTGGCCTCACATAAGGAGCAAACCTTGGGCGAACAACCTAGGCCCCTAGACTGCAAAGAATACACTCTTTCCTTCCCAACTATTTATTCTTCCCTTTTTGGATCATCCCTTCATTAAGCAGCTACTTTATCTAAAGAACCATCCATTCAAGTGGATAGCAAGGACTTAAGTAAGCCACAGCAATGAAATTCACCTTGGAATGCTCCACAGGGCTGCACGTACTTGGAGGCAAACCACGAAAACCAGAGTGATTCCATGCACACTACAGAAAAAATAAACTCTAATTTTGTTTAAACCTAGACCCCTATTTTTATTTTGCATAACCGTGGCAAGGATTAGCATTAAGTAGCCCATCTTTTGCTGGGACAGTAAATGGAAGACTTTAATAAGGCTGCCTCAGAACCAAGTAACAATCCTTGGCCAGGAGGGAGGCTTCAATGGGGTATCCAACTGCACTTCCACCAATATTGCTAGCTTGGGTCATGTAGCTAACACCCGATTACTCATCTGTCTCTAGGACATACAGCCCTGATCTCATGGAATGGAATCTGATTAAGGCACAACACTGCTAAGAGTTGCAAGTAGAACATGGAAGACAAGTTCCTAGGAGAGAAGATATCAGCACTATACCTGAGTCTGTATTCTGTTTAGGCCTCGGAACCACAGGATCTGTCCCCGTCTGAGCTCCATTTCAGCATGGTCAATTTCATCTAGACCCTCTTGCAGTTCTTCGTCTGCAATATCCTCCTTGGTAGTGCCATGTCCTGCCTCCTTCAGGAACTTCAGCTGGCTGGTTGGAACAGTGCAAATCACCTGCAGAGACATGGCATCATCCAGATTACTTAATTTTCTGCTCTGCAGCTTGCATGACCTTGTTTCTGAACCAGACTGCATACCTGCTGTTTGTTCACTGTGTTCTGGCCTGGTCTTCCCAACAATGCCAGGTATCACCACATTTTAGTTTTATTTATTTAAGTTTCAAGATATTGTTCTACCTGTTCTTTTGATCCATTATACCCCCTCAAGGTAGTTCTACAATAAATCATATTGCTTGTAGCAACTAACAAGATGACTGTTACAATATCTGGATTTTGTCTTCAGAAGGGAGGCAATAAGGAATGGGAAGAGCAACAACAATATGCTTTAGAGAAAGATATAAAGAAAATGTAATGCTCACTGATTTTTTTAAAAAAGGTAATTTTCCTCCTGACCCTATCAAATTAAATATGCTCTCACAAAATCAAGTGACCATATTGTGGATGGATTTATAAATTCCACAAGTCATTGTATAACAGATACCCGTGATCGCATATTTTAATCAGTTGAAAGAACAGAAATGACACCCTTTGCTTTGAAGTCAGGGCCTTAACCACCAGAGTCCTGGCGATGTTACTGGAATCCTGCAGGAATCTCATTTATCCTTAACCACCAGAGTCCTGGCGATGTTACTCTCATTTATATCCCTGGAGCTTAACAGCACCACCAGATTTTACAGTCACACAGCTGTGAGAGGTACAACAGCACAGTGGGCCTTGCATATGGAAGGTCAACATTTCAGGCCCTGGCAGCTCTAGCTGAAGGGTAGCAGGACTGGGAAGGACCTCTGCATAAGATCTTACAGAGCCTCTGCTGGTCAGAGAACAATGCTGCAGTAGATGGACTAATGATCTGGCTCAGTGAAAGGCATATTCATATGCTTCATTAAATGCATACAGATTACCCACAGGACTCCTTTCTATAAACGGGAAGGGAGAGCAGAGATGGAAAGGGACTTAGTCAAGTCACTAGAAAAGTCCAAGTCTTCTGGGTACAGAAAGGAAGTTAACTACACTTTCATATCTCCAATTAATCATATCATATCATATAATGACATAAGTTGCTTTAACTCTCACCTGTCCCCAAAGTAGTTCACCTACACCAATGAAAATACACCAGAACCACTGACTCAAGGTAAGCCCCGAACAGCTGAATGGCTTCCCACCAAATTCCACAATGATGATCTGCAGGACAGGGTGGGGGGGAGTACAGCCAAAACAGGCTTTATTAAGTATGTGCAATTATAGAAAGAATTATTACCCTGTAAAATAGCTTATATTACATACTGCTTCTGCATATCAGGCATATTACCAGGCAAACAAACCATCTCAGGCTGCGGTATTCACATTGACGTTCCTGGAAAGCCACATTTGCAATAAACATTAACCAAAAGAGCCACATTTACTTCCATCCCTGGCAGGAGACCTCCACTTCAGGGAGGCTTGCAGCTTACCCATTCCTCTGTGAACCACTACCAACTACAAGCCCCACCAGGCAAGAGTCTTGCCCAGTTTCCTAAAACATGAGGCAGATGCCACACGACAGACCAGTGCTCAGAAGAGTCACAAGATCTAAGGTACCTGCCTGCAAGTCACATTCTGGTTAACTGGATTTGTACAGGTGTTTTAGACAGGGAACAAAAGGCAGATATAAGTCATTTTCCAGACCTAGTGAAGAAGATCTCCTGCCTCTCGTATTACATGAGAGAGATTCCTTTGATACTTTAGAAGTGCAAAGAAAACTTGCAACAATATACAGGTTAAAATACCTTTTGAATAAAGGTGGAGTCCTACATGCAACCCCCAGGTGAAATTTACCCCGCCACTCACTAACATGTATCTGATTATGTCAATATGAGCTACTGAGTATCACCAAAAAATGGCAATATCAGTGGTTGGGGTGACATGTCACTGTACCCATAACACGGATCCACACCATCATTGTAAGAACATAAGAGATGCCAATGTTGGACAGGCCAAAGGCCCATCCAGTCCAACACTCTGTATCACACAGTGGCCAGAAATACCAGTGCCATCAGGAGGTCCACCAGTGGGGCCAGGACATTAGAAGCCATCCCACTGTTGACCCCCCCAAGCACCAAGATGACAGAGCATCACTTGCCCCAGAGTCCCTATCTATACCTTGTGGCTAATAGCCACTGATGGACCTCTGCTCCATATGCTTATCTAATTCCCTTTTGAAGCCGTCCATGCTTGTGTGTGTCAATTCACAGTAGAGGTGCAAAGTACTGAGTTGCCCCAGTTAACAGTTAGTAGATTAAATACAGTAGGTATATATAAGAATTCACCACAAGTGTCACACGAAGAAGGGATTTTAGTGGAACAAAAACACCCGCCCCATGTGCCCAGGTATTTCTCAAGTATTCTATATGGAGAAAACTGTAACTGAGCTTTCTGAAAGTGCAATTAATCTGACAAGATGACAAAAAATGGAGACCCTGGGCAGAAACATATATGGAGTCTATAGGCTAGGGTTCACAAGAAGCCACACAAGTAAAAATGCTAGTGGCTGTTAATGTCTACAACCAGAAGACAGATAAGTTGCAATGAGAACACCTCATATAACTCTTATCAAACGACAAAGTTTTCTGCAAAATTATAGTGACATACCATTTCCTCCACCAAGTACTTTACCCTGTTCCCCTTGTGAGGTAGCAGGTGTTATCAACTCTATGGGGAGCTATAGCACATGATCAAGATAACTGGAAGAAATATGACTCTGGCAAGAACTTCAGATACCTGTCCCTCCCATTGTAAACATGACCTGTCAAGTTTTGTCTTCAGGTTCCTTATCCCACTTGGAACTTTTATTTACCTGGGCAACAAAGGTTCCCAGCACGACTGTGCAGAAGATGGGATTGCGGAAAATGGCCTCAAAGACATTCCTCTCGCCATGGATTTTACGAGCATTAATCTCATTGAAAAGCTGCATCATGACAAAAGTGTTGAAGACGATGGTGTAGTGCTCAGTAGGTGGGGAATGGAGTGGGACGTTCCGACCACTGTCAATATCAAAAAACTTCTCACCTATCAGAAAAGAGTTTCAAGAGAAAATAAAATATTCCTTTCCAACTACAGGCATAGTTTGGAAGCTCCATCATTTGTGATGTGATTACACAACAGTACTGTAGGACACAACCCAAACCTGAGATTACCACAAGTATCTTGCACTCCATCAATCAACACAGAATCTCTCCTTTGGCACTGGGCTTGGCTTCTTGAAAACTGCAGCTTTCATTTCAAAACAACCACATATGACTTTTAGCCCTCATGTTTACATGGGGGGAAAACCTAGACAAGTGATGTTAATCTATATATAGAAAAAGAAATTGTAATGCTGGACTGTCTCAACCATAGAAGCAAACTAGACAATCACCTGGGGTAACAGAATTCCAGGGGTGCCTGCTTGAGCTTTGTAAATGCTTTGCAGAAAACTGCCACCTTTTGAGGAAGCACACAGAGGCAGCTTAGAGCTGCTCTTTGGCTGAGTATATTCCCTGCATTCCAAGAGCCTTCTCATCTCACCAGCCACTTGGGATATGATCACAGTGGTACAGGAGAGGAAACAACAAGGTGATATTAAAAATAAAAATGCTATCTGTGGTCAACATTTTAGCATTTAATATAAGACACAATAAAACACATTGTGGTGGAGGACAAAACATTCTGTCTCCTACTGAATAGTTCTTCACCACAGTCTTGTTCCCCCAAACACAATTCTTCAGCATTCGCCAGTCCACACTTCCCTTTGCTTTATGCTACCCGACTCCTCTTCAAATCAGACACATGCCCCAAAGTACAGTTTGCATCAATGTATTCAGTGTCTGGATTCTCTTTGGGGAAAGAACTACTAAGGGGATACTGGAAAAACAGGCAGGCCTCTCAGTGGAGCTGAATCCAAGAGCCTTGTGGGTGAACTTGTCTAAATTTAAGCATACTATTTGAAGGAATGAGAAGCAGAAAAACTGGGAGGCATTACAACATTTCATTGGAAATTGCTAAATTTGGGGAGGGAGGCACTGTTGTATAAACAGTTGAAGATAACACTCGCATGGATTGTTAGAAAACATTCAGAAGCATGTTGGATATACTTCTGAACCCTTCAGGATCACACATGGAATTACTGACATAGTTTAGATTTCCCCTGCCTGTTTCTGGCAACCCACATCACAGAATAGGATCAGTCAGGTTATCAGAACTGGATGTGCAGTTTGCATGACCAGTTTTCATGATATCAAAGTGCGGGAAGGAGGAAAGTACCTTGTTGGAAAGGGACCCTTGTTATACGTTAAAACACTTAACCTATAAATTGCCAGGGATGTGTTCCCTAACAACTTACCAATGGACAAAGGCAGAATAATGAGTAGAACCTAGGTTTCCCATAAACCAGTACAAGACCCAGTTCACTATCGGTTCACTGCCTCTTCAAGTTTACATATAACACTGTACAACACTTACCTGCAAAGAGCAACGTGAAGATAATGGTGAGTTGGTACACACCATGCCCCAGGATGTTCTTCATCATGGTGCGGGAAATAAGTGGCTTGTTGCGGCCATATGGCTTGCGCAAGAGCAAGGATTCTGATGGGGGTTCTGTGGCAAGGGCTAATGAGGCAAAGGTATCCATGATCAAGTTTACCCACAACATCTGAACAGCCTTGAGAGGAGAGTCCTGCAAAAGGTGAAAAAGCCCTCAGCAAGAAGTGCCAAAGACATCTAAGTCCATGACCATTTCTCCCCATGTCTTTAGCCCTGTCTACTTCTCACTTACAGCAGATATGCCATGAGCAAATGTTACTAATGTGTTAAATACTTACTTAGTGCCAAAGGGGTGCTAAGCCAAAGACCGCATGGGTAGCATACCCCAATAAACTTGTCAACAGCCAGAAGGCTCCAGATGGAATTTTTTTGTTTTATCCCCCCCTTTTAATTTTTTTTAAAATTAAGAATATATAAATTACAATTATCCAGATACAATTTTATGAATGTCAGCATTTATTTAATTGACAAAACCACAGTTCTAGTCTTTAGATATGAAGATATGATTGCAAAAACATCTGATTCAGTCTTTAGTACCAGAAAAGTCAGGCACCCCTGCAATGATTGAAATTGGGTGATTAGTCCCAATAACCAATTTAAAACCATCCATTCTAGCAAGCAACATAGCTCCAGGAACTACATGCTGGGGACCAAACATCTCCCCCAATCCTGCTAATTATCAGGCAAGGTAATCCAGATGGCTTCTGCTGAAAATGCTGGTCAGAGTGGACCTTTGAACTTTTCCAGAAAAGCACTGCTCATGTTTCAATCTAATCCACCCTGTTCCATAACACAGAACCTTTACCCACTGATCTGTGCAAAACCCAAAGCTTATGGGTTTTGTAAGCTCACAAAATCAAGACATCCAACATCAACAACCATCAAGACTAAGCAACGACTTTGCAGGAGCAGAGTGAAGAACAGACTCCCAAACATGTGCTTTTAAATCCATCCTGGTGGCTTATAACTACCTGTCCACAAAGTTTCCCATCAGCTGCCATTACCTGTGTGATGCAAGCACCCGTGAAAGCTACAATGACAGCAACTATATTGACTGTTAGCTGGAACTGCAAGAATTTGGAGATGCTGTCATACACGTTGCGTCCCCACATCACTGCCTTGACAATACTTGTAAAGTTATCATCTGTCAGGATGATATCTGAGGCTTCTTTAGCAACATCTGTGCCAGCAATGCCCTGGAAGAGAAATCGAGAAAGAAGGAGAAGAGTAGGAGTGGTTAGTCACCAAGGTTGCATCAAAATGAAAAGCATCACTCCCCTTCAACAGTGGATCACAACTTTGCAGTAGAATTTATAATCCTTTAATTTTGTCCCAAATCTAGAAGAAGCAAGGGTTTAGCATGCAGGAAGCACAAAGGCCACCTGAAGAATGAAATGCCCAGCCTTCATAAGTGGCTTAATTATTGTGATTCTTTCTTTCCTTGCAACAGATCTGGGTTGTAAAGTTAGCCAATAAGAACCATGGCAGCTGATCAAGGAGCAGAAGAGGTTATTAGGCTTATTGCAAAATTCAGTTACAGACACACGGTGGCAGTCAATCTCTACAGAATCTGCCATTGCTGGAAAAAATCCCAGCAAGCTTCAAGAGCATTAACCAGGTACCCTACAGTGACCAATTTTCCCTAATGCTTGCCTGCTGTGTCCTACTGAGCCTAGGGACTGTGAGATTCTGTCCTGAGCTGTAACATTTCTGACTTCTGCAAAGTGCAAAAACTGAAACAGAAAATAGAGCAGAATAAAAACAGAGCTTTAACACACACACACATTTCCCCTCTCTATTCCTCAGCCTCTTAAGCCAGTGCTTATCAGCTCTAAATTGCCAAGGCACTCAAAGGGAAATCCCTCCCCCCCCCGCTGTTTTGGCTTGCAACACAGCTTTCTCTGTAGTAGAATAGTCCATACCATAGCAAATCCCACATCTGCTTTCTTTAAGGCTGGACCATCATTGGTGCCATCCCCAGTCACAGCTACCACCTGCCTTCGTTCTCCAACGGTGCTGTCAATAATACCTGAAATATGGGGTTAAAAGAGCACAGATGTCATCAGGCTAACTGCACAAAGAAACCCCATTAGGCAGCAAAAAATAAAATAAAATAACATGAAATGAAATTTAAAAATCCAGATGAAATGCAGCTCCGTGGCTTTAGCTGTACAAACCTAACCACTTTCCTCCAACATTTTGCTAAGGACGCATGCCCACTCACCAAGGGAGCCTCTGCCATCTCCAGACTCACCCCCACTCCTTCAACTATCGTGCAGACATTTTTCTAGGGAGGAGGTGCCACCTCCTCAATTGATCTTACCTTTCACAAGTGTGTGTTTATCTGTGGGGGAAGAACGGGCCAAGACTCGTAGCTTGGGCCAGATCTTATCCAGCTGCTCTTGTTCCACCTGTGAGGCAAAACCATGAACATAAAAACCAACTTGGCCCTGAACAGGAGCATTACAAACCCACTTTTTCCTTCCAGATGTAAGTACTGCAAGGTTCTGAGAACTCTTACTGGAGCACCTTACTCACGGAGGACAGACTAATTACATCTGACATCCCAAGGACAGCATAATTATGTCATCTAGAAATAATCAGTACATATATGGGTCCAAGACAGTGATGCTTTTTGTGGCAAGTTTATTGATAAATTAGCAACAACTGGCGGCAGTCAGTTCAGCTGCACCTTTGGGATGTCATAACAAATGCGTATATTGTTAAAGACAGCCATGAGATGCTACAGAGAGTTTCCTCTATAGCTCCATTCTAGCCTTGCCAAGCCAGTGGTTTGGAGCACATTGTCTTTTCCACAGGAGGTTAAGCTGCTGTGAATATATGGATAATTCCCCCCCCCCCGAGACCGCAGATGAAGGCACTATAGAGAAAGACATGTTTCAGTAAGAAGCAGTTCTCAGAATAGACAGACAGAACCGTGAGCAGTTTCTGCCCCACCCCCTTGCCCTGAACCTTGTCCTTACCTCTCCTTTCTCATTGCGGATGAGCCGGTTGAATTCCTTCCCTTCTAGGCATAAGAAGTCCTCCCCGGGCAGTAAGATACCACACTTGGTGGCAATGGCACGTGCTGTGTTGATGTTGTCACCTGTAACCATTCGTACTGTAATACCAGCACGCTGGCACTTCTGGATGGCATCAGGCACCTGTTGGCAAACAACACGTCAGTAAGCTAGGCAGCGTGAGACAGACTAAATGATGGACAAGCCTGAAACCGAAGGAGGAAGGAAAAACAACTACCTGGAATTATAAACACAAACAAAAAAATAACATAACTGCTCCAATTAAAGATTATTTTAGCCCCCTCCCCAATAATGTGTATGCCTTGTTTAATCCCCAATAGGCTATCAAAGCAGCTAGACAACAGCAAACTAGTATTCTAGATTATCACAATGGCCTTTGTGTCTTCTGACTCAAAAGGAAGACAACAGTTTGCATTGCATACACCAAATCCTGTAGCTGTAAGCTTGTGATGGGGCAGGAAACCCAGTGCTAGCCATTTCCCCATGTTCCCCATAGCACTGGAGCCAATTCCTCAACATGTATGCTACCACTGTAACATGATGTTGTCCACTTCTGCTGGCATTTCACAATCACATTGTGTGTTGCAGTGACATCACAGCACAAGAACGTTAACATTTGTTCTTGGGAGTGGGAAACAGTATAATTACAGGCTGCATCGGGGCTATATAACTGAAGTGCCAGGGTTTAGGAGTTAGAAGCCAACTGTATCTTCCCAACACATGCAAGGAAATTTATGTGCACACTTATTTATCTAATTCCAGTACTTATAAATGGTTGTCCTGCTAGAATGCACCCAAAGAGGAGAGCTAAACACAGGCATTTACAATTGTGACATGTCCCTTGCAAAGTCGAAAATGCATCTGTACTGTATAAAGAAGCCCACTGTTTAATCTGTCCTGAACCTTCCATGCTTTGTTTAAATTATTATTTATTATTGTTTATTAGATTTTATATCACCTTCCCTGTGAGGCAGGCTCAGACCAGTGTACAAGTTAAAAGCAAATACAAATAATTTAAAGCCGCCCTGAGCCCGCTTTGCGGAGAGGGCGGGGTATAAGTTTGATAAATAAAGTGTTAAAGTTATACAGCAACAAGGTCCTGAATCTTGAGGCGTTATAATTACAGGTTTCCTAACCCCAAATCAGCAGGGGAGGGAAGGGAGAGATGAGGACTAACCATACCATTGCTGTCCTCAACTGTATGCCTGGTGGAAAATCTCTGCCTTGCAGGCCCTGCGACATTGTAGAAGATCCTGCAGGGCTTGGATGTCAGTCGGCAGAGAATTCCACCAGGTTGGAGCCAGAGAAAGCCCTGGCTCTAGTAGAGTACAGCTGGACACTTTTTGGGCAAGGGACCTCCAGCAGATTTTTTTCACTTGAGTGCAATGCTCTCCGGGGGGACATACCAGGAAAGATGGTCCCGAAGGTATGTTGGTCCCCAACCATTAAGGGCCTTAAAGGTCAAAACCAAAACCTTGAATCCAATTCAGTACTCAATCCAGTGCAGCTGGAGAAGCACAGGTTGAATGTGTGCTGTTACAGGGTTCCCATAAGAACCAGTACTACTGCATTCTGGACCAGTAGCCTCTGGGTCAGCTTCAAGGATAGGCTCATGTAGAGCGAGTTACAGTATCTAATCTAGAGGTGACCGTTGCATGGATTACAGTGATTGGCCAGAGTGAGACAGGAAGGGGGCCAGTTGCCTAACCTGGCGTAGTTGGGAAAAGGCCATTCTGACATTTGCAACCTGGGCCTCTGTTGATAAGGAGGCATCCAGGAACACACCCAGTCTCTTGACTGTCTGTGCTGGAATTAGCAGCACATGGTCAAGAGCTGGAAGTTGGTGCCCAAGTCCCAAATCACCCCCAGCCAGCCAGAGAACCTGCATCTTAGATGGATTCAGTCTTCACTGACTTTGTTTCAGCCATGCAACCACAGCCTCCAAGCCCTTGGCCAGATTACTCAGGGCAGCGTCTGGCCTGCCATCCATCAGCAGATATAGCTGGGTATCATCAGCATACTGATGATACCCCAAGCCCCAAACTCCGCACCAGTTGGGTGAGGGGGCTCATGTAAATGTTCAGTAACATCAGAGAGAGGATAACCCCCTGAGGGACCCCACATACCATAGGGTATCGAGGTGAAACCCTCTCTCCTAGCACCACCCTCTCTCCCCGACCATGGAGAAAGGAAACAACCCACTTCAGGGCTGTCCCACATACTCCAACATCAGTGAGGCATTGAGCCAGCAGATCATGACCGACTGTGTTGAACACTGCTGTCAAGTCAAGCAGTAACAGTAGCACCGACCCACCTTGATCAACTACCTGTGGAGATTGTCCATGAGGGCGACAAGCCCAGTCCTGTAATCAGGGCAGAAACCAGACTGGAATGGATTTAGTGCCAATGTCTCCTCCAGGAAACCCTGGAGCAGCTCTGCCGCCGCTCTCTCAATTACCTTGCCCAGAAACGAGATATTTGAAACTGGGTGGTAATTGGACGGATCGGAAGGATCTAACGATGGCTTCTTCAAGAGCACTATTACCACTGCCTCTTTTAATCCCTTTGGATATACCCCTAAACTAAGAGACAGATTGATAATGTCCATCAGAGGGCGCCGTAAGAAAACAGTAAAAGCTATCTCTGTAGGTAAGTGAGGGAAACAGCCAGATAATTAAACAACATTTTTTCCCCTCTCCACTTTTTATCCCAAGCAAGCAAGAGGTTTGTTTTGAACAGCTTCTGGAATAGGCCCCTTCTTTGCCTGTGGGCAGGAGTAACCACCTTGCTGACTCTGCTCGGTGACATAAAATGGCTTGGGAACCCCTGGTAACTGGGAGGGTTCTACCACTCTGAAGTAGCAGGTCAGCCTCTTGCCTTGCCCTGTTTTGTTTACTGCTTTGGTGCATCACTGCTCTAATAGGTTTATCTCCTATAGAACAAGCCTGAGCATGGAGGAGACCTTTCCAAGAAATCAGCAAATTGAATCACAGCCTCCTGAGTGAGTGCATGCAGGGCATCTGCAAAGCCATTCCCAACCCCAGATACTTCAACATCTAATTAAGGAGAGAAGCGTGCAGGGGACTGGCTTTGAAATGTAATCAAGAGGTAGGTAGGGGAGGGTTTATTGTGTTAGATCGGCTATCTGTCTGTCATCTTTGTAGTAAAGCTGTGTGAGAAAACAGTGCTGTAGGTGGGGAGGAGCAGGGGGAGGAGATGGTTGCTGGATAATAACTAATCCCTCTCCTCTTGCAGATGCCTTTGTTACCTGTCAGAATCTCCGCTGTGTCTTCTGTGGAGTTTATAAACTGAAGTAGCCTTATGCTGGATGAGGTCCTTTAGTAGTTGCACTGAAGGAAGAATTTTAGCATTTGCCTTGTCCCCGACCACCACACTAGGACAGGAGAAAAAGGATCTGCTCAAATCCTTTCTTCTATGCAACTTTTAAATGTGGCTGCCAACTTCTTTCCTGATAACGACTTTCCAGTACTTTTAAGAAAAGCACAATAAGGCAACATTCAAGTAGTGCAGTCTTTTCTTGCTGCTGCAAGTTCATAAGGGGAAAAGGTGCATCACTTAATTACTCCTTGTCTTGCAACAGATGGAAGGCAGAGGTGAATTCATCAGGAAAGGATTGGCAAACTGCATTAAACTCACAGGGGCCCTACACAATACCGAATCTAGCAATCATTGGCAACTGAACCTCACAACTGATACCAAATGTAGCTTGAAAGGGCAGGGATCTTGAACCCTCTGCTACAGAATGGGGGCAGTGTGTTGATGACACAAGTCAGAATGCTCAAGGGATTTCCTCTAAAGGCAGTCATTGGTGCAAGAATAGGAGCAGAGAAAACAAATAGAAAGTGTTAAGCCAAGCAGTCGAGAAGTAACAGAATTACAGATGGAAAAAGCAGACACTTAGCAAAAGTGAAGAAATAAAGAAGAAAGGGAGAGAAAGGATAAAGTTCCAATATATATCAGGAGTAATATATACTGGGGTCACAAGAAGTGTTTGAAGCAGGATGAGTGAATGAGGAGAGCAAAAGATGAAAAGTGGTCTGGGGTAGGGGGTGGGGAGGTAGAAAGAGGAAGGATCTCACCAGACAGAAGAGAGTTTGGAATAGAGCAGATCAGGGATATAGCTTCCAGAATAAGTTGGTTTGAGACCAAAGCTGGGGTGAAGCAGGTAGCAAAGGAAAGGAATGCAGAAACAGCAGGGACAAAATGGGAGTCACACAAATGGAAAGGGTACAAATATGACTGGCTAGGCAAAGGGTGGTTTTGGACCACTAGCACAGGAAAAGAAGAAGTGCCATTCTGGTACCTCTGGCCGAACTGGGTCCTCAATGCCCACCACAGTGATGCAGGTAAGGTCCGACAGGATCTCATTCTCAACATCCCAGTCAGGCTCAACACCAGCAGAGAAATCCCGGTATGCCAGACAAATAGTACGCAGCCCTTGACAAGCCATTGGCTCAATCACTTTTTTCACCATCTCGTCCCGATCCTTCACCTTAAATATTCGGATTTCCCCATCCTTGTCCAAGATCTTTGTGCATCTGCATCAATGCAAAAACAAAGTGAGAATTACTTCACAGACCCTCTCCATCTGAGCAAAGGCAAAAATTAAGCACATCTGTAAGTTTAATGAAGAAAGTGTGCCTTATTTATTTGGAAAGGTTATGTGTGCCTTCTCTCCAGAGACCTGCTTGAGGAGGCTCAAAAAGTAAAAACAATACAATAAAATAATTTTTAAAACCATAAAAGTATTAATATTAAAACAAGACACAAAAGCCTTATTTCTGTATGAATCATAATTTTTAATGCATCTATATATCTAATTCCGAAGATGCCCCCTGTGTGCGGATACCTAAATCCGCGCATCGGGGGCACCTGGGGGGGAGGGAGATTTTTGTGCATACTTGGGACGGTCCCCAGGTGTGCACAAAAATCTTAAAACCTGAAAAAAATATCGGGGGGATACTTAAATCCCCCCAAAAGTAACAGAGCGTCCCCTGCGCATGCACAGGGAACGCTCTGCAAACTGCCTTGGTTCAGTGGGGGGGGAGGGGAGAGAGACACCAGTGAGGCTGAGGCTAACCCGCAGAGCTGTTGTAGGGAGGCCAAACGGCGGCCCTGCCGGACTCAAGGCGACGCCCTATGAGGACTGAGTCCCGTCATTCCTCCTGGACCCGGTTTTGAAGAAGGAAGACTGCCGTCTCTGGGGCCCCCGTGAGGGACGAAAGAGGTCACAGAGCCTCTAAGAGCGGGAGGCCTGGCTGCAGCTGCCCGCCGCTCTCTTGCCGCGGCTTCCCCTCATTCTGTCGTCTAGAAGCCCCGCCCCCGCCCGGAGGCTTCTGCTTCGCGTCGGTGTCGTCGAGCCAAGGCCGCCCCTCCGCCTTCCCATGGCAGAAGAGAGTGCGGCTGGCAGCGGGGGAAGAGGCCAGGCTCGCCCAGAGGCCTCTGGCGGGGACGAGCGTGAAGCGCCCTGCTGCAGCGGCGCCGACCGTCCCTCAGCTGCCTCTGCACATGCTTGGCAGGGGGGGGATCCCCAATACACCTACCCTCCCCTGCTGCCTCCCGGAAGCCAGAGGCGACCATCCTTCCAAGGCGAGGTTCTTCTCAGCAGCTGGGTGAGGAGCGGGATGAGGGGGCCCCTCCCTTCGCCAGGTGATGTTTTTCTTTCTGTTCCTTTCGAGTCCAGCGGCACGTTTAAGCCAAACAAAGGTTTATTCAAGGTGTGCGGAGCTCCCCCGCTCCTCCCCCCGCAATTTTTGCGGGGTCCCCTTTCTTGTAGGAATATAATATCCATTTGTTCCTTACAAGATGGATTGTGTTCAGTTAAATCATACCAGGATATCCTAAAGTTCCTTTGCTCTCTTTCCCATGGCAGACACTCTCAGAAGAGATAGCATAAGGCCTACTTTTATAGCCCTTTAAAGAATTGTTTGTTAATGTGTTATAGAAACAGAGTTGGAAGGGGCCTTAAAGGTAATCTAATACAGGAAACCATAAACTAGAGCATATTGACAGATGGTTGTCTTAGTAGCATGTAGGGATGTGCATTTCGGAATCCCAAACCGGTTTTCGGGATCCCGAAATGGCAATCTGAGCGCTTGTCCGAAAGCCGGAAAAAAATCCCGAAAAAATTCAGGATTTTTTCGGCATTTTTCGGCATTGCAAAAAAACGGCTTTTTGCTCTTTAAACTTTAAAGGGCAGCCGGGAAACCCCGTTTTCCCACCTCTAGCTCCTGTTTTCAGGAGGGAGGGGGGAAGAGGGGACCCAGAACAGCCATCACTGTGAATATCTAGTCTCCCTCTCCCCAAGGTCCATAGGAAACAATGTTGCCGAATTGCCGCCGAATTTCCGTGGCAAACCGGCAATAAACACTGCAGCAAGCTGATCTGGGGGGCACCTGTTTGGGGGCCCATAAAATTGGACCCCCTGGTCCAATCCTCTTGAAGCTTGGTGGGTATGTTGGGGAGAGGTTCCAGTAAGCACCCTCCAAGTTTGGAGCCTCTACCAAAAACCCCCTCCCCCCAGCCCCCAGCAAAGTTTCAAGAGGATTTTTGCCATTGACTTCAATGGCCCCATTGGTTATAATGGACCCGAATTTTTTGGGTTTTCCGAAAATTTTCGGATATCTATGCTTTACCAATATAGATATTCGGTTTTTTCGGGTTTCCCGAAAAAATTCGGGTCCAATAAACCCGAATCCGAATTTTACCGAATTTTTTTTTTTGCACACCCCTAGTAGCATGCATTGATAGATCTAACTCTAGAAAATGTTTCCAGAACTTCGGACATTCATATCTGGCACTTCAAAGGCACAAAGAAACTGCAACATAATGAAGGACACTGTTGTTTTCATAGCTAAGGTTACACCAATGTAAGCATAAAGAAGCAAGGAACTGCAAAATTAAGCAATTCTCATCCCCAGTGATTAGCAATGGCAGCTTTATGCTGTGACAACAGGCAGTAAAATTAAGAGAGGGCTCCTGTCTGGGAGAAATATGGAAATGCAAAATAAAGCACTGTGCTAAAATCCAAGCAATAAATACTTTGGGAAAAACAAAAATATTATTTGATCTTCCATGTGCCTTAATATTTTGTATGGGGAATATTAAAAATGCATACTTCTAAAAAAGCATAATTTTATTTGATTGTAGAGAATCTTAATGCTTATGTACTACTGAAGTGTTGTAGATTTTCCGGGCTGCATGGCCATGGTCTTGGCATTGTAGGACCTGATGTTTTGCCAGTAGCTGTGACTGGCATCCTCAGAGGTAAAAAAAAATGCCAAGACAACGGCCATACAACCCAGAAAATCTACAACAGCTAATGAACTCTGGCCGTGAAAGCATTTGACAACATATTAATGAAGAGTTTGTGGAAGTGGCTACTCCTTTTAACATTAGACACATGGAAGTACAGTATAAAAGCTACCTTCCTGGCAGTGATGCTCAGTTTTGAATTTCCCCTATGAACCTGCCTGGCTACTACTGATTCCAGTTCCCTTGCCTTCTGAGATTAAACAGGCAGCAACCTAGGAGATGGCCTTCTTGGTAGGGGCATCAAAACTCTGGAACTCTCTCCCCTGGGAAACTGGTCTATCTTCTTCTGTTGTCATCTTCTCCCAGTGGATGAAGACTTTTTTGTTTCATTTGGTGTTCCCTCAGTGATCCGTCCTTCCTGACCAACGTTTTATGACTTTGTGTATATTTTATCTATGTTTTTAATTGTTTTAATGATGTGTGTTGGGGGGCTGGTTTTAATAGTTTTAAAATGTGATTTTATTATGTATATTTTAATTTGTTAGCTGCCTTGGTGGTCCTTGTGAAGGCAGAAAGGCAGGATATAATTTTTGTAAAATAAATAAAATTTTTAGCATTGCTTTTGGTCCTCAGCCAAACCTCTTGCTAAAGCAGAGATGCCCACAGACAATAAATACTACAATAAAGCAACTCACATGCTTCTGAACCTCCTTGCAATTTTGACTGTTTCTCAACTGTGCCTAAAGAATTTGCCTGTCTTCTTCAGATTCAGGAGGGAAAGTTAAAATATAGGTAAGTGATGCTGGGAATCAGCACTCCAGGAAAAGCAACCATCTGGCTGGTAACCTGACATTTCTGCAATGCTACTAGAGATTCCTTCAGAGACCCTATTCTGAACATTCTTAACACAACAGATTTTCAGTTTCTAATGGAGACTTTCCTCCCATTTACAATACAATTCTACATTTTTTGATTCTGGAAAAATTTCATAGCTGTAGTACAGGATGTGCAAGACAAAACAAACACCCTTATTAAAGATGGTGCATTATGGGAGAGGAGTTACTTGCGCAGGATGATCTCGGAGGCTCCTTTGCTGTACATGCGGAAGCTGCCGTCAGGATTCTTCAGCACTGTACTCATAGACTTGCGGACTGAATTGAAGGTGTAGACCTTGTAGAGTTTTTCCTCAGGTACCTCATTGCGGACCGCTTGATAATCCTGTTTCAAGTCCAGAACAAAGCCCAAAAGTGCACACTCTGTCTTGTTTCCAACTTGGCGTGGGAGGCCCCCTTCTTTTTCTGGTGGCTGAATTTCCCAAAATTAAAAAATAAGTGGTAAATTACACAAATCAGCTATGACTACTGCACAGAATTAATGACTAATAAGCAAAATAAATAAAAATGGAGACAACAGCACTGAGAACCATCACAATGCAGTGGCTAGAACACGGGACTCAGACCAGAGAGACCAGATTCAAATCTCTGCTAAGCCATGAAGTTCTTTCCATCATTCCGTCTTAGCCTGACTTACTCCACAGGGTAGCTTCAAAGACAACATTCAGGGGAGGGGGAATATAAGCACACCTGCCCTGAGCTTCTTGGATGAAAGGCAAGACAAAGACATCATCATTGTCATATGTCATGACAAACATATGGATGTCTGAGTATTGTGTGACTACCACTATTGAGTAGAATTTTAGAGGTAAAAATGACACTTTAAGAAAAATCCAAACCAAACCCCCAAAGCAGGTTAGCTAGATGGGAGTTATTTTTATCTCTCAAAAGTCTAAACTCTTAATCTCTTTAGACTTCAGTCCCCATCTGTGAAAAAGGGATATTAGCAGATTTTCCTCACCTGTCAGATTTGTGAGGGCACTTCTGATCTCAAACTGACTGGGATTCAGCCTCCTCCTTGTCAGTCCCATATCAGAGGAGCCACCTGTCCAGCACTTCTCCACCTCACAGAGGAGTTCGGAAGACTTAAATGTTACATAGTTTGAGAGTCACTTCACATGCTACTGTACTATTTCTGAGTCTGAGGAGCCAAAATGTGCATGTTATGAAGGGCATTACACATTTTCTACTGTGTACTATGCACACTGGGCAGCCAATGCACAAGCCAGGTTTCCAGCACACATATATGTGCTGGAAAACACACTTGTTCTGTTCCTCTTACATTATTTTTTCCAACAGAAAGATCAATCTGATATAAAGGGGGAAACAAAAAAAAATTGCTTTAAAAAAATGAATAAGCAGGACCGATGGTCTATGCTTGTATCTTAAAATCTATTGTGGCCCTTCAGTTCTTCAGCAAGTGTGCTGACCAGGGATGGTCTGGGATGGATGGAGTAGGTACATGTGCTTTTCTCTAATGTATATGCATACAGCACTGTGTCAGTTTAGCAATCCACGTGCATGTACACTTGTGCAGAGGCCAGATTTGCACAATCCTTCCTCCTTCTTAAAAGAGGTGAAAAGGTCACGCAAGTCATATCTACTCATGCCTGGGCTTAGGTTTAAGAACATAAGAGAAGCCAATGTTGGATCAGGCCAATGGCCCATCTAGTCCAACACTCTGTTACACAGTGGCCAAAAATACCAGGTGCCATCAGGAGGTCCACCAGTGGGGCCAGCACACTAGAAGCCCTCCCACTGTTGCCCCCCCCCCTCAAGCACCAAGAATACAGTGCATCACTTGCCCCAGACTGGGAGTTCCTATCTATACCCTGGGGCTAATAGCCGCTGATGAACCTCTGCTCCATATGTTTATCCAATTCCCTCTTGAAGCCGTCCATGCCTGTAGTCACCACCACCTCCTGTGGCAGTGAATTCCATGTGTTAATCATTCTTTGGGTGAAGAAGTACTTCCTCTTATCCATTCTAACCCGACTGCTCAGCAATTTCAATGTTTGCAATACCTGGCTTATACAATGCCCTTAAACACATGGTACAGAACAGCACACAGGACCACTTTCTTCAACAGGGAACAACAGTCTGAACAGTGCACGAATGGGCCCGCAGAGGACACGTTCCCTGACAGATTACAGGAATGGTGGCAAGTGAAAGCTCCTTTGCAATGAAGTAAGCTAGGACTCACCAGGATTTTGGAAGTGTAAGCAGAGTTGACTGCAACACCATTGACAATGATGTCCAGAATCTTAGGCAGGATGGCTTCAGGGTCAGGGATCTGTCGGTAGTGGGTGTCACCCACATAAGCCTGCACCACAGTCATGCGGTTCATGGTGAGAGTGCCGGTCTTGTCTGAGCAGATAGCAGTAGCATTGCCCATGGTTTCACAAGCATCCAGGTGCCTAACCAAATTGTTATCTTTCATCATTTTCTGTGGGAAACAAAGCAGAGAGCCTTAGTGCCACAAACACAGACCAGTTAGTGAACATGAGATGCCCCAAAACAGCCACTGAATCAAAGCAGGCCAGGACCTCCCTGCAAATCTTTAGCATCAGGAAATTTATTCTAGACTTCAATAATGCATAAAGAAAATTGAAACCTAATTTTGCTACATTGTAAAAGTTCAGGAGCCACACTAAATAACAGATTTAAACTTTCAGTATTTTAGGTAGAGGCCGGCAGTTTTTTGAACCCTGGGTTTAACGTATCTGCCATTTCTGGTTTTAGTACGTTAAAACTCCTTCTCCATTTGTCTCTAGTAAATAAAATCAAGGACATACACACAAAACTACTTTCATAGACTCCCAAAGACAGTGGCATTTATTCTCTGTTCCTTCACGTAATACATCTGTCATCACCATGTGCCAAATCTAGTCTGAAAGGAAACAAAGCAATCCTATAGCAAACCCCCAGCCTCCTCCTCCTCCTCCACACCCTGGCAGTCTATACCTTCTCACCTTGACAGAGTAAGCCAAAGATATGGTGACTGCCAAGGGCAAGCCCTCAGGCACAGCCACTACTAGCACGGTGACACCAATGATGAAGAACTTGACAAAATACTGGATGTAGATAGGGGTGCAGTCAGCCGTCCACTGCCTTCCCTGAATCCCAAAGGTGTCAATCACAAAATACAGCACCAGGATAATGACGGTGATGGCTGACATAATCAATCCTGAGTGGGAAGAGGAAAGAGACAGCAAGGTGAGACCGAGCAAGCCTCCAGCATATCCTAAGACTGCAGTCCAGCCACAACTAGGAGGACAGCGGCAGGAATGAGTTTGACTTCAGCGGGCCCTGCAAGCACCAATTAGAGAACAGCATCTCCACACTCAATGACTGCCTAGCAAAGGTACAGGCTGAAACAGAGAACATGAAGACCACGTGCTAACCTAGCAGGCAATTACTTGGGATTCATTCAGTACAATCTGAACATTCATTATAACAGCTCATCCTCAGAGATGCAGAGAAATTATTTAAACACCCTACTTCTGAATCTGCTTTAAGAGCAAACAGCTCTTTTTTATTTTATTTTACTTTATTAAGCCCCAGTTAAAGAGGTTTCAAAGGACAGAAGTTGGCAAGATGTAGGCCTCACTGGTCCAGGAAGGATGGCTCTTGGTCACTTTGCTCGATGGGAGGGTAGCAGCTGCCACTTCTCTTTGGTGTCACAGTATGAAAAAGACCACAGCAAGCATAAGAGCTACCAGTGAATTTAAGGTGGGCACCTTTGGTCTTCTACTTAAGAACTTAGGGCTTAAGAATTTAACTACATATCTGCAAATGCATGTAACCAAAACAAAGCAGGCTCGCTTTCTGTAAAGGAAAAGGTGTTTTGTGGGAGAGAGTAATTTGGAATTGGGAAAAGTGGTAAGAAGGAAGAGAGCTGTAAGTCCTTTGTCTCCACTCCATTGCTCCCAAAGCAGCTTTCCTCTAAATGCTTTTAAAAGGCCATTGGGGCTTTGCTGCAACCTTCTGCACTTAGTTAATCATTAAAATAAGAGATTTAATTGAGGACCACACATCTTGACAGCATCCTGTTGTGGATACATGACGAAGGAAGGAGCACTAACAGAGAGGAACAGGCCACTATCCTTTCAAATGCAAGCAGACTTATCCTGTGTCCTTCTAATCCAGTGTTATCTATTCTGACTGGCTGCAGCTCTCCAGAGTTTAAGGCAGAAGTCTTCCTTAACCCTGCTGCTGCCTCTGGTTCCTCAGCTGCAGATGACGAGAGACTGGATAGGGAACATACAAAGCAGGCACTGTACCAATGAGACCGTGGTAGGGCAAAATCTCCACTCTGCCAGGAATCTCACCAGCCTAAGCAGCAGTAATGCCCCAAGCCCATTTAGGCCAAAGTGCCTCCTCTTTAGGATGGTAATGTGGGTGACCTTGGATCAGTCACACTCAGTGTAATGAACATCACAGGATTGTTAGGAAGATAAAAGGAGGGCCAAAGGACATAGCTCGTTGCTTCTAGGAGGAATGGCAGGATTAAAATGTACCAGAAATGCTTCACACGCAGAAGGTCCCAGTCTCAGTTCCCGGCTTCTCCAGTGAAAAGGACTTCAGGTTGCTGCAGGGGAAGACCTTTCTCTGCTTCAAACTCTGAAAAGCTGCTGCCAGTCAGACAGAAAGTAGTGGACTACATGGATAGATAGTCTTTTCCAGTAGTAAGATGGCTTCATAAGTAGCACAAAGGCATGCTAGGAGCCCTACGTCGGATCTGAACCCTGGGAATCTTCACTGGATTTGTATCTAAGTTTTGCAACCCTGGTGGGGATTTGTTTTCTTTGACCATGCACAAATTCTGCTTTAATAGGAAGGCATCTAATCAATTTAGAGCAGACCTTGTAGAAAGCTGCTAAGCAAGTCCCAGAACATGCTCACCTGCTTTTCCGATCTGAACTGCCAAGCGGGTGAGCTTCCCTTGCAGTACAGACTTCTCCTTCTTTGGGACCTTCACTTTCTTCTTCTCCTTTTCTTCATTTTCCACCCCTTCCTGGCTTTTCAGTGGCTGGATCTCCAGAGCCACACCATCCTGAGTTTTTGCTGGATCCAGGGTGAAACAAACAGTGAGAGTGAGTGGGAAGCAGAGCCCAAAACAAAACAAAAACAAAACTTTAGACGCCACAGAGAGAGAAGGAAGGGTGGTGGAGAGAGAGAGAAAGAGAAAATCCCAGTGCACAGGAACCCCAACAGCACACACAGACACTCGGTAGCATGGAAACCTAGACAGTCCAGGGAGTCCTGCTCCGTATCCCCCTGGCACAGATGAATGAACCAGCTCTTGAGAATCCAGCCTCCCCCCAAGGCAAATACAACAGTTCTGTTGACTACAGCTGGAAGGAAGGACAGCCTTGCTAGGAAGGCACAGGAGCCACAGCTCTGGGGATCTACTTCCCGGCTCTGCTGCTGACCAGCTGCATGTCCCTGTGCAAGGCATCTTCTCCATTAGCATTTCTGTAAGATTGAGTTATTAGTACTTACCTCACTGAGATAGCAAGATGGCAGGGTGTAAAACCTAACCTGTGAACTCAGACTTCCATGCCATAAAGGTAGCATTATGTTCCTCAGCCAAGGCCAACACTGACTGTTTTAGATGCCAGGGTCAGCATCCCAGCAACCACAATGTGCTTAATACATCTCTTAGACAGACATGGAGAATACTTCTGTCTGATCTTTATGATGCTTCTGAATTGACTTAAAAGCTCAGACGCCTATAAGTGATTCTTGTTAGTATCTGGAGGAACTGTGGCTTAACCACCACCACCACCAAATAAGTTGGGTTTTTATTTTACGTGGTGACCTCACCGATATATCGAGGCAATGAGATTCAAAATTAGTTTTTGTCTTAACTGGGAAGTCTGTGCTGGATTAGATCCCTTTGTGCTGTAATGACACCACTGTAATGACATTAGTGTTTCCCAAGATACATTAAAAAACATTTGTGGGGTGGGGATGGGGAAGGTTAATTATGAGTGGACAAGGACTGTTAACCAGGGGTGAGTGGCGATGTTCACATGGCCCAGGAGCAAGCTGAGCTGGGCAGCATGACAAAGGCCACTCAGCTTTCACCCAGCCAGTGGCAGAAGTAGCAAGTAATGAGTTAGCCTCTGCTTCTTCTTGTTGCTAGCAACGCTGTTGGGTCTGAGCCGACTGGCCCCCACGGCACTACCAGCGCTGCAGAGGCTTAGTTTCATTCGCTCTTAGTCAACAGCAGTTTTCAAGGGCACTGGGAAATTTCCTGGCACGTTAAAGGGACAACCCACCACTGGAGTCAACTAATGAGAAGTAAATCTGTTAGCTCATTTCTCCCAGACTTTGTGATCTAGCCCACAATGTCTTTGGAACTCTATAAAATACCAAAGGTGGATCTTCAACTGGTGCATATCAGCACAACTGCAGCAAACTGTGTCACCTGCCAGAGGTGAGGATTTAGTCCTTAAAGGCCTTTTTAAACAAAGCCACCACTAGCTCCCACCCTAAACACTGCAGACTCTTGTGCTATGCACTTCTTTTCATCTCTTGTCTATCGATCATTTACAAGCACAGAGAAGTATTTAATACACAGACTGGAAAACAGATTTCTCATTATAAGCAAACATGAGATGTCAACTCTTCTCAACGTGGAGTGAGTTCAGAAGAATGTATGGCTGCTTTGTAACTGATCTGCACAGTTAGGACTTAAGGACATGACAGGGCGAAAAGTCAATGCCAAAATAACCCAGGAGTTCAGATCAGAAGGAGGGAAAACTCAAAACTGCTGAGAAAAGGAAGAGAAAGAGAAAGGTGAAGGTGTGGAGGGAGAACAGACAGGTGCAGAAATGGGCTTCTTCACCATAGCCTGGAAAGAACAGGGGGTGAAACATATCAGAGAATAGACATTCACTTTGATTCAAAAGGCCATGAGAAGAATAGAGTGTAATGACTACACATGCTGGACCCACCAGAGGGGTATGATAAAAAGTTCAGATGTTGGGGGCGATAGGGAAAGAACAGTCTGTGTGACCTTGTGAAATGTATGTGACTAGTTCAGTTACACAAAGCTGAAATATTATGGTGCACACAGAGCAAGTAGTCCCATGTCTTAGATTTACTACTATCTTATAGATTTCACAGTGGGGCAAGAGAATCCTTTTCGGGCCCTCTAAGCCATCCATCTTTGTTTTTCATCCTGTGTTTGATAGAATTTGCCCTTTCTCAGTAAAGAAATGTACACTTAAGAAACTAATGTAGGAAAAATGCAATCCTAAATTAGCAGAGGCTGGCACCAGTTGTGGAAAGCTGCCAGTCACAGATGAATGCCCAGCTGGCAGGAAGAGCAAGGTGGGGGGCTAGCACTGTGGTAATCATCACACCCTCTTCTAGAACAACAAGGCGAGATTCCCGCCATAGCAACAAAGAGCACAGACTCATGGGAAGAAGGAAGGAGGAATGCTCAGTAGTTAGTGTGGTGCTGGTTCAAAGGATGGAGAGGCTGGTTACCTTTGTTGCGATTTTCAGGGACTCCTGGTTTTTTACCTGTTCAGACAAAGAGAGAAAGGGTGGAGCACTGAGCACACGGTTCTCGACATCGATGGCCCTGCTGGTGTGGGGAAGGGGGGCTCAGTGCTCTCTTGGGCAGGCTGCCAGACATGGGATGAAAACTCTGTATGACGCAGCTGCCATCTGGGCTGGAGAATTTCAGCATTCCTCTCTAGTTAATGTCGCTGCCAATTCCCACTTTCCAGCTCTTGGCCCTCACTCTGCTGTAACAGAGGATTTGAATGAATAGAACTATGTTCTTAGAACTGAAGTGTAGAGGAGGGCCCAAGATGAATTTTAGTTCTGTTCCCAGTACTGCCACAAATGCCACATGTATTGGGGGATCACTCTTTGAGACTCAGTTGCCAAGCAGAGGTTCTAATCTAGAACTTCTCAAAGTCTGCCATAGTGAGCCTCCCTGAATAAAAATAGTTAAAAAAGAATATCTGGATCACGCCAATACTCTGGAACTTCTTTGTTACTTGCAGCTCCAGGCTGCTTCAGCTACACTCCAAATGAGAAATCAAGTAATATTGTAGAAGAGCAGGTCAACATTCTTCCTCAAACTGTTTTCATCACCTTATGGAGTTCTAGATGTTACTTTGAGAGTTACACATTGAATCAACCTGTCTGTACAGGGCAGTTCGTGAACAGTGCAAAAAGAAGGAAGCAATTAAATGCAGGTTCACTTTTATCACATACGGCAGGACAGCCAGTATGCTATAAATTCTCGGCAATCAGAGACAACTGTCTTCTCCCATGAAGGAGCCCTGGGACATTTAACATGAATTTAGCATGGAGATTTCTGCCTTTTAGGTTGCCTTTTACTTGGGATGAATTAACCTGCTGCAACTACTACTCCTGGTTCTGTACTCACCAGTCAGTAATGTTAATTAATCCTTCATTGACCATGAATTCGGTAAACAAGGGAAAAAATCCTCCCACTCATTAACTTCCCTGTTTGCAAATATGGGAGGATGACAAAAAGTGTGATGGGGCAATGAATTTGCAGTGAGTGATAGTGAGTATGCAGTCCTTCATATACCCTTGTGCATAAATTCCATGAGATTTACACATGCAACTGCATAGGACTGCACTTGGGAGTGAGGCCCAGTCTACAGTCCCAGCATAATATGGTAAAATCTTGAGATCTGACTGTACCAGTTCAGGTTGCAGTAGAGGGTGACATTTTCAAATGTTCCCTTAATGTAAACAAACAACAACAAAAAAACCCAGTACATAATGGATAAAATGTTATCTATTTCCTGATGTTCTAGCTTTCTACTTGCAGGGTATTTTATGCAGGAGGACATTCAAACTGCTAAGATGTAATTGCTTGAAGTTCAGCAACACCAGTGTACAGAAGAGGTCCACACTACATGGATGCCAAAAATAACAGGCATGGCTCTAATCTCATTAATTGTAGACTGTTCTACAGGTATGGTTATTCCTTGAAAACAAGAAGGGGTAACTTGATTCTGCAGAGCTTCTGTGCAGAAAGGAACCCACATATACCTTGAATTATGGCTATTATTTTTTCCATCACGAAAGAACAGAGGTTTGTTAAGCAAATAGCAACTGCAGTTATTTCAATATCTTCTTAATTTTGCAGTTTAAAAAATAGGAAGAAGTGATTGGCTGTCTCTCATATACCCCCTCTGACTTCCTAACCCCAGGTGTCCCCACCCCCACCCCAAATTTGAGAGATATTAATTTTAGCTCTGGTCAACAAAAAGAAATATTCCCTGGAGAGACAAGATTGACTCCATTCAGCTACTGGGGAAACAATATAATCACCTTTCCCTTCAAGTGCCCCTTTAATGCCTTTGACAAATTCTGTCCATTAGCATCATTTCAACTGAGCTGGAGATCCCATCATCTGGTCATTTTCACTTATCCTCATTTGTTTTACCAGATGGATTTTAAAGTGCAGATGCCTCTTCTGTGAACTGGGTAAGGCTTTGCTTTTGTAAACCACATACCAAGGTTCTCTTTTCTCTCTCAGTGGAAAGTGAGAAAGGACTCCAAAGAAGTTTCCTTATTCGGAAACTAAAGCTACTGCTTGAAACTCAGCATGAATTGGACTCATATGACTCCAGAGCCAATATAGTCTGATGCATACTGCTGGATTGGCCTGGGCTCAAGTTGGATGCTTGGCCAAAAAACCCCACTCTGGTTGTATTTAGCATTGTCAAATCACTGTTGCTCAGGCAAATTATTCTAAATTGTGAGCTTATTATTCTACAAAATGAGAATAAGAGTGACATATCATAGGGTTCTTGTGATGAATATGAGGAAAACTGTGAAGCATTTCGTACACTTAAAGTCCTGCAGATATTATTACTTACTACTGTTTTTCGTAACAGCATGATTTTAATGGGCCTTCTACATCGGGGCTTACTGGGAGAAAGAGCTGTATTCTCTCAGAGGCCACCTCTCTCTTTCAAACTGTTCAAGGATGATGGTTGAACAAAGGCATCCCACAATGCTCTTCTACTCAACTTTAGGTAATTAGACTCCATATTTTCAAATTAAAATAGTTGTTTTAAAAATAAACAGGAGCAGGAGAGACATGTGCTTGATGCTGAAGTTCTTGGGTCAAGGGGCTTTGTGGAGGAACTGGATCATTTTAATCATGGGTCAGCTTCCCTTTAGAGGTTCCACAGCTGTAAGAAGAACCTGCTGGATTGGACCAAGGTTCCATGTACGCCAACATCCCGTTTCCAACAGTGACCAATCAGATGCCTCTGGGAAGCCCACAAGCAGGATGTGAAGGCCTCCCCACATTGTTTGTATACAGCATCTGGTATCCAGAGGCTGCTGATAGGTTTTTCCTCCATGTACTGGTCTAAAACTTTGTTTAAAAGTTACCTGTGCCTGTAGAAGGTGGCTCAATTAAGTAAATCTACATATTGTTTCTAAAAACAACCTATAGGCACTGATCTCCGAGGAATCTTGCTACTCCTCCTCCTTTTTGCACCTTATTGAGCTGCGGTTGAACAAGCATTAGAAAAACCTCTCTAGTCTCCTTTGTCTGAAAACCTGTATTGGCCACATATTGATCTCCCAGCATTCAGCACTGAACTTCCAACATCTCCTAAGTCCCTCAAATTTCAGTTTTGTCAAGTCACACTGGGGGAGGGGCATGTGCTCTGCTTCAGCAACAAAGTATTAATGCACTTATAGATACCTCCAAAGATGCTTCCCTTTGAAAGCCTGTTTCCTGTGTCTTCTTACCTTTCTTGATCTTCTTCTCCTCATCTCCTTCCCCTGCTCCCAGAAGAGTGAAAATTATTCCAGTTTGTGAGTTGATACCCACAGCTGTGACCAACATTCGACCAGAGCCTTCCATCACATGAGTACCTGGTAAAAAGAGGCAGCAGATAGGGGAACTGGAATTAAAAATGGCCAGATAAAAGTATAATCCATTCTAAAGAGAAGTCAAGGTCAAAAACATGCTGGTTCAGATAGTAACTGGGATAAAAATATCTATTTTGAGAGCACCAATTTAAACTGATTCCATTAAAGCTTTCCAGAGCTCCACATGGGAACAAAGCATGCATGAAGCTCCTGTGTGTGCAGACTTCCTAACTCATTTCAATGGAGGTGAAAGAACCACACATACAAAGGAGTATGTGTGCTGAGTTTTCCCTTCCGTTAAAATGAATAGGAAGTTCTTGCAGATACGGTAAAAGTAAAGGTTTCCCTTTCTCGAAAGCCAGTCGAATCCGACTCTAGGGGACGGTGCTCATCTCAGTTTCCAAGCCGAAGAGCCAGTGCTGTCCGAAGACGTTTCCGTGGTGATGTGGCTGGCAAGACTAAACGCCGAGGTGCACGTAATGCCATTTCCTTCCCATTGAAGTGGTACCTATTTATCTACTTGCAATTTCTTGCTTTAAAATTGCTAGATTGGCAGGAGCTGGGGCCAGAGATGGGAGCTTACTCTGTCACGCGGCGCTCAGGTCTCGAACTGCCAAGCTATCAACCTTCCAGTCTGCAGCTCAGCGTCTTACCTCTGAGCCACAGCAGCTTCCTGCAGATATGGGCTATTTCTAAAATGAAACATGCATTCCCACAAAAGATTCCTGGATAAAGCCAATTAAGTTACTGAACCCCTGCATTCACCTTCAACAGACCGACCGCCCCCAACAAGTCAAGGATCAGAAAAGTCATTAAGTATTTTTTGGATTGCCTCTTTACCTTTATACACTGGAATACATCACCACCTGCTCACTGAGACTGAGACAGGTGGAGGGAGCTTGCTTTGCTAATACTCCAGAGTGTATGAGGAACAGTCTCTCTGCTTGCTGACACAGCACTTCCTTTCTCAACATAACAGAGAAGTCTAGATACTCCTGAAACACTGCAAAACATCATCTCTACCACTGAAGCACCTTCTTGCCACCAGGGCATGCATGGGCCAGGTGGGTAAAACAAGTATATCTTCACAAAAATAGGCTTGGAGTTGAATGACTGGTTTCTCAGGGCTCACAGTTGACAACTACATTTGGCTTACCAGAAAGCAGCATGGGGTCTTTATCTAAAGACTTCTTCACATGATCTGATTCCCCAGTCAGAGAGCTCTCATCAATTTTCAGATCATTGCCTTGGATCAGGATCCCATCCGTAGGCAACAAGTCACCTGTAAGAAAGAAAATGAACAGTTCACCTGAGTTTTTGGGCATTCTTCATCAAATGGAAAACTCATCCACTTGAAGTCTGCAACATACACAAGTGAAAGGAGATTCTGGCAATTCCAAGGGAGTTCAAAATTGTAAGCACATTTTGCTGATTTTGAGGCAGACAATCAGGCTAATGAGAATAAAGGAAAATGTAATGTAAAAAACTCTCCTTTTTCAAACATATTTTTGAATCTCAAATACTACTAGATTGACAAGTGTTCACCTTGCTGGGTTTTTCACAGTGCAAAGTTTGGTAAAATTGCTCCCCACCCAATAGACTTTCTCAATGCTGTCCAGTCCAACCAACATTTTCCCCGCTGCCATCCCTGTTCAATCTATTTGCTACAATTCATCACACCAGTTAAGTTCTCTGCTTCTTTGAATTACTCAACTGTTACTTTCTAAGTTCATGTTATTTGCCCATAAAATCCTCCCACTCAGTTATCTTCCACCTCCTACATCATGTCAAACAAAACCACTTGTGCTATTCTCTCATACCTACAACATCCTACACCAGCTACTTTCATTCTTAGAAGTGAGGAATTAAAGAGAGGTTTGCATTACCAATGCAGACCATTCATATTGCATGGAGGCAAAAACAGAAGCAGGGCAGGTATGCCAGCATTTTTAAGCTTCTCAGTTTTTAAATACAGTGCCACCTGTGGAAAAGGAGAAACCATTAGGTCAGGCATGATTGTCCACTTACCATACTTGATCTGAGCAATGTCCCCCACAACAATCTCAGCCACAGGGATTTGGATGACTTGCCCTTTGCGGATGACAGTGAACTTCTGCTCCTGTTCAATGCGGCTTTGGAGGCCCCGGAATTGCTTCTCTTTGCTCCAGTCATTGAAGGCTGTAACCAGCACCACAATGATGACTGAGAAGAGGATGGCTGCTCCCTCAATCCAGCCAGCCTGGGCCTCACCCTCATCTTCTGCTCCACCTGTTGGTTGCCCGCACTCTGCAATGGGATGTGAGGAGTTTCTTTTTCAATAGTAATTTCATTTTCATTGCACCATCTGTCTTTTGGTGCTTGAAACATTTCATGAAATGCAGTCAAATAGCATTATTATTGTAGGCAAGTATGTAATATTTGTTATATTCCCATCATTATGACAGGGAGGAGGAAGATGAAAAGGAAGCCACAAAGCTCTGTAGACTATCAATAAAGAGCAAGGAAGGAACATGGCTAGTTTTAGGAATGAAAGTTTCCTTCTGTTATTATCCCATGTTTTGAATAAGCAATGATTACCACTGAATGTTGTAAAAGTTCTTCTGAAATGAAGCCCTTTAAAATTATCCCAATGTGTGCAAAAACATATATTCTTTTTCATATTTATATTTTAATTTTTTTGTTTTTATATTGTAGAAAGCATAATTGTGCTCTACTGAAACATAAATACAAAACAGCAAAAATATTTTAGGTACATAAGGAGTGGTTTTCTTGCTTTCTTGTTGTATGGAAGTGCAATTATTTTTTGTGTGTGTGACACAAGAGTGTAACAACCAGTCCAGTAAGACTCCCCCCCCAAGCTTCCTTTTACTGTGCACATTTTTAAATGCAACCCCAGAAGAACCTTAGATTTCAGTATAATGAGTTCTGTTCCATTACATGTCTGTTTATATAGAACTCCAAAATCTGGGGAGAAATTTGGCGGAGGAGGATTTCAAAAGCATCTCCAGATATTTTTGTAGTGAGCTCTATTAAGGACAGTAAGGGCATGCTGCATCAGAAAGCCAGAGTGCACGAAGGGGAATGGGAGGATTCCCCCGATATATTAATAAATATTATGTTTTTAATTTACTTAGTACCTATTATAATATTTTATAAAGCACCAGTCAAGCCTGGTGGAAACTGTCAACATGTGCAGAGTGCATGATTGAAAAGAGTTCATCCATGGAATGGAGAGAATGCTCATGAGGAATGTGTTCACAAGAAGTCAGAATGTGTCTATGGCACTGACAGAGGGAATTTAAGAAGTTGCACTCATTTTTTCCTGGCAATCTGGCTCTATAATTTACTTTAACTCAGCAGTTCTAAGGCACTTTTTTCTAAAAGAATCAGCACTGTTTTTTCCCCTGAAAAATAAAATACTTACAGCCGTTTAGAAAAACTGTTCCACTCTGCAGATGGTTTGGAAACCTGCCGTGTTTGTGCTACCTGTTGGTTAGAACCAGGCAAACAGAAGGAACCTGCCTCTCCAGACTCCTCTCTTATAAAAGTATATATAGTAATTCAATTAGGAAGATTTTGTCTAATGGGTTGTATCCAGACTAAACCGGCAATTCGCATTAATCCCCCCTTCTTGCTGTACCACCCCCATGTTATTCCCCAGGATCTCCTATTCCCCAGGGGCAGCATTTCATCAAGATCAGTGGGAAGCGGTAGTGTGTCTAATGGGTTGTATCCAGACTAAACCGGCAATTCGCATTAATCCCCCCTTCTTGCTGTACCACCCCCACGTTGTTCCCCAGGATCTCCTATTCCCCAGGGGCAGCATTTCATCAAGATCAGTGGGAAGCGGTGGGGGGGGGGACACCACATAAAAGCTTATTTTACAAAATTTATATGTTGCCTTTCTGCCCTCATAAGGGCCACCGAGGCAGCTAACAAATTACAACATAAGTAATAAAAAGTACATCTTAAGAACCATGAAAACCAATAACAGTCATTAAAACAATTAAAACCAGGCCTCAAATACATACGAAAAACAAAAAAAAAAACAATTAAAACTTTGGGCAGGAAGGAGGGATATGTCCCACAGATGGAAATTTTAGTGTGGATCCAACTCAATGCTTATATCTTTCCTGCCTTGGTGAGGAAAAGGACATTCATCCCAAAAAAGAAGAACAGCACTGGCCTATGTAAACATTTGCCATGGGACCAGGAATGGACAGCACTAAAAACTGGAAAGAAATTCCAGTCTCATCCATAGAGTCTGAGCACCTTTGGGAGATGTAATACAGAAGTCCTTTCCCCACTCTTTTGAGAGATAGTGGAGCATACATTGATACACTACATATTTACATTAATAACACCTGATTTGTCACACCCATATAGATGAACTAGGATTGCCAGGTCCCCTCCTCCGGTGGAGGGATTTGGGGGGCATTCTGGGACATCCCTGATGTGATGATGTCACCCAGAGGTGTTGCGTGGGGATAATCTGGTTTAAGGGCAAAACCAGCTAAAAACCACAGAGTTTTGTCATTAAACCAGAGCACTAGTAAGGACAGTAAGGGCATGCTGCATCAGAAAGCCAGAGTGCACGAAGGGGAATGGGAGGATTCCCCCGATATATTAATAAATATTATGTTTTTAATTTACTTAGTACCTATTATAATATTTTATAAAGCACCAGTCAAGCCTGGTGGAAACTGTCAACATGTGCAGAGTGCATGATTGAAAAGAGTTCATCCATGGAATGGAGAGAATGCTCATGAGGAATGTGTTCACAAGAAGTCAGAATGTGTCTATGGCACTGACAGAGGGAATTTAAGAAGTTGCACTCATTTTTTCCTGGCAATCTGGCTCTATAATTTACTTTAACTCAGCAGTTCTAAGGCACTTTTTTCTAAAAGAATCAGCACTGGTTTTTCCCCTGAAAAATAAAATACTTACAGCCGTTTAGAAAAACTGTTCCACTCTGCAGATGGTTTGGAAACCTGCCGTGTTTGTGCTACCTGTTGGTTAGAACCAGGCAAACAGAAGGAACCTGCCTCTCCAGACTCCTCTCTTATAAAAGTATATATAGTAATTCAATTAGGAAGATTTTGTCTAATGGGTTGTATCCAGACTAAACCGGCAATTCGCATTAATCCCCCCTTCTTGCTGTACCACCCCCACGTTGTTCCCCAGGATCTCCTATTCCCCAGGGGCAGCATTTCATCAAGATCAGTGGGAAGCGGTGGGGGGGGGGACACCACATAAAAGCTTATTTTACAAAATTTATATGTTGCCTTTCTGCCCTCATAAGGGCCACCGAGGCAGCTAACAAATTACAACATAAGTAATAAAAAGTACATCTTAAGAACCATGAAAACCAATAACAGTCATTAAAACAATTAAAACCAGGCCTCAAATACATACGAAAAACAAAAAAAAAAACAATTAAAACTTTGGGCAGGAAGGAGGGATATGTCCCACAGATGGAAATTTTAGTGTGGATCCAACTCAATGCTTATATCTTTCCTGCCTTGGTGAGGAAAAGGACATTCATCCCAAAAAATTATTTTACAAAATTTATATGTTGCCTTTCGGCCCTCATAAGGGCCACTGTGGCAGCTAACAAATTACAACATAAGAAATAAAAAGTACATCTTAAGAACCATTAAAACCAATAACTATCATTAAAACAATTAAAACCAAACCTCAAATACATACGAAAAACAAAAAAACAATTAAAACTTTGGGCAGGAAGGAGGGATATGTCCCACAGATGAAAATTTTAGTGTGGATCCAACCCAATGCTTATATCTTCCCTGCCTTGGTGAAGAAAAGGACATTCATCCCAAAAAAGAGGAAGAACAGCACTGGCCTATGTAAACATTTGCCATGGGACCAGGACGGGACAGCACTAAGAACTGGAAAGAAATTCCAGTCTCATCCATAGAATCTGAGCACCTTTGGGAGATGTAATACAGAAGTCCTTTCCCCACTCTTTTGAGAGATAGTGGAGCATACATTGATACACTACATATTTACATTAATAACACCTGATTTGTCACACCCATATAGATGAACTAGGATTGCCAGGTCCCCTCCTCCGGTGGAGGGATTTGGGGGGAATTCTGGGACATCCCTGATGTGATGATGTCACCCAGAGGTGTTGCGTGGGGATAATCTGGTTTAAGGGCAAAACCAGCTAAAAACCACAGAGTTTTGTCATTAAACCAGAGCATCCTGACATGATGATGTCACTTCCAGGTGATGTCATCATGTTGGGGAAGTCATGCGGGGATGTTTGGGGGTGGGGTTTCCACACCGGCCAGCTGGCTGGAGGTGGGGAGAAACCCTGAAAACCGGGTGAACCCCTGCCCTGACAAACCCATGGTGAACTGTGTCTTGGTCTTCAACAAGTTTATTGAGACCCCACAACCGACTCAAGCAGCGCGCCGAATCGCCGAGGCACCAGGAACAACAGCCCATTCACCGCCGGGAAAAATGAAGCCAGCCAGATCAGGAAGACATCTGCCTCCACCTGGGTGCCGGTAGGCTGCCCCTTCCCCAGAAACAGTGTGTGGCCCTAGTTAGGGTTAACAAGTGATTAGCACCCCCTCTGTAAACCGCCCAGAGACCCCTACGGGGGTTAGGGCAGTATATCAAGCTGAATAAATAAATAAATAAATATAAAATAAGTGTATTAGGACCCCACTAGCATCACAACCACCATTTTTTGGTTTGCCACTTTTTTTAAAAAAGAGAAAGACAAGAAGTACAATGTAATCCTAGGCAAACTTAACCCAGACTAATTCCATTTACATCAATGAATTTAGACCAGAATAATTGGTTTAGGATTACTCAATTCAGATATCATGCAAAACCATGGCCTAGTTAAGCTATCTATGCCTAGTGTGATCATCTGAATGTGGGCCATTCCACTCACTGTGGCCAGCTAGGGTCTGTCAAATCAGAACCTGATACCATGGTTTTAAATTGGTTTATTGATCCGTTAAGTCTTAATGATGGTTTCATGTTACTTATGAATATGGACATCCTGGTTTAATCCTGGCATGCTCTCTGGTGCTGTCCTTGCTGCAATGTAGGCTGGGATACCAGTTTGGTATCGATGGGGAAGGCATGAAAACAGTAAAGGTGATAAAACCAGTATTTGTTGAAACAAATTATAATTTCAGTTGAGACAGATTCAGGTGGGTAGCCATGCTGGTCTGAAGCAGCAGAACAAAGTTTGAGTCCAGTGGCACCTTTAAGACCAGCAAAGTTTTATTGAAGTTATAAGC